TCTGCAAAACAAATGCTTGTGCACAAACTTGCAGTGGAACAAAGTGAGTTAAATCTGAATTATTCTTCATGTGTGATCACAAAACCGAAAACTGGTGCAGATTGGAAAGGCCTTCTGAGTCTGTCTGGTCCAACCTCACCTCTTCAGCAGGGACACCCAGAGCTGCTTGTCTAGCACTGACAGCTTTTGAATATCTCCAAGGAGGAGACTCCACAACCTCCCTGGGTAGCTAAATTCCATTGCTAAATTTCATGCACATTAAGGATGTGCTTCCTGATGTTCAGACAGAACCTCTGGTCTTCCAGTCTGTGCCCATTGCCTCTTGTCCTGGCACTGGGCACCGCAGCCTGGCCCTACAGATAAGGACCACGTCCTTTGGGTGGCTCTGTGTCCTTTTCATACTGCTCACTTTTGGGATATCATCATAACAAATCAGTTAGAGACCAGATTTATGATGATGCTTAAGCAGAGAATAAGATTTTCAAGGTGTGATTCTGCCGGTTAAGTTCAGTTGCAGCTGATTTGAGCTAGACTGTCTTGTAAGTCTTGTTTGCTTTTTGGTTGCTTATTTGTGTGTATCAGTGTCCTATCCTCCCTTTTGGATGTTATAATTCAATACATCTTTTGACTTGCTGGTTTTCAAATAGCTTTGGGAAAGCAGTTCTTGCTCTACTGCATGCTTTGAACACTACTGCTGTGTGGTTTGATGATGGGTTTTGCAGTTGGAGATCAATGGACTTCCAGTAATAGGAGGGCTGTAGCAGCCCTTTGTTCCTGGAGATTCTTCCACACTAAAGCCTATTAAAAAAGAAACGTAAAGTAGGGTAGAAATCATGTAAAAATGCCCTATTGATAGAGGCTGTGAGGCTGAGATGGCGTACAAGCTTTGCTGCTTGGCACTCATTAATAATACGCAGTACAAACCACTGGAAGGTGGTTCATAAAGGTGTATAGGAGGTAGGGAGTTGGAATAGGCTTTCTCCTGACGTTTGCAGATTTCTGACTGTAAAATGTGCTGAAAGAATCTCACCCAATAGAGCCATCCCAGGTTTAGAAACGTGCAGCTCCACGCTGACAGCTGGCGTGAATGAGGATTCCTCTTACATCCAGAAAGGAATCTTTACTTGGGATTTCTCTCCCATCACCTTTGCCATCTGAGCTGGAGCTGCTTTATTCCCTTCACATGGCGAGAGATAGAGGGTATAAGTAAGACATCTGAAGCCTTCTAGAAAGTGCTCTTAGAATGAAATGAGTGAACGTCCTCTCAATATGCTGTTGTCTGCAGGACGAGACCAGCTCTCATCTATAAACTTTGCAGTAGTGTGAGCTAAAGCCAAGAAATCTCACCTTTTCTCTTAGAAGGTTCATTTTCTCAGTGCTTACTCACCTGTGAGGAGCAGCAGTTCGCTGCATTCCTACATCAGAAGGCTGTGATCCACTGTCAGAGGACTTTGGAAAGTTCTCACAGTGTGCGTTTGGTTGTTGGGTTTGGGTTGTGTTTTCTTTTGAGGGAACTTCTGAAAGCCCCCAGTTGAGTCGTAACTACAGGAAAAGTTGGGTTGGACGGAAAAGGAGCTCATGGGCTGAGCAGTTCTGGGCTGGTAGGGTATGTGTAGCAACAGTTTGTCTGGAATATGAAGGAAGTCCTCTGTTTGTGGAGCTTGGTGAGGATGGGGACGTTCCCATGCAGCTTCTTCAGAGCTCAGGGTTGAAGTCGTGTTTGTGGGATCTGTTGTGCCACATAGACCCCATCACCAACCTTGTGATTCTGTGATTCTATGACCAGTGTAGCTAGAGATTGGAAGGGTCCTGCTGACCCCAGGGAAGCTTGTTGCAGTACACTGTACCTCTTACACATCCTTGCATGTGGGAAGGAACAGCAGAAGAGGAAAATAGATGCAGGGACTCAGAAAAGCAGAAAAATAGAAGCGCTGAAGAGAAGTGAGGATTCACGTAAGAAAGGAGCGCAGAAGAGGAGAAGAAGATTAGAGAGGATATTGTTAAGAAAGATGTGAACTAGAGGAGAATAGCAAAACAAAGGGAGAAAGGGTATGGATAAGACAGAATAGCAAAAGAGATGACAACAAGAAGACAAGAAAGAATACTTGAAATACAGAAGAGGAGAATGGGAGAGTGTATAGAGAGGATAGAAAAGTAGCAGAGAAGTGGAGAAGAGAGGATACAGGTAAGGGAGAAAAGCAGAAGAGGAGAAGGGGAGAACAGCGGATACCGTCAGATGGAAGGGGAGAAGAGAGGATACAGGTAAAACAGAAATGCAGAATTAGAGAAGAGCAGATCTTAGAAGTCGTCCTGTCCTCTTGCTTTGAGATCTTTCAACTGTTCTCTATTTGATGAGGGGTTATGACATGAGAGACATCAAATAAGGTACAAGACAGAGGATACCCCAGAAAAGGTTTGAGAAGAAGTGTTTCAACACCCAGGAGGCAGACAGTTGTTGCCATGATCAACTGAGGAGTCTCCCAAGCACTGAGAATCCCGATGTCTGTTTGATGTTAGCAACTGCTGGCTGGGTCTCCCTTTGAGAGACCTAAGGAACCAGGTGGAGTGCATTACAAAATGCTTCTGCTGAGGTTGTGTTGTGGGGAGACTGGAGGTGCGTGTGGCATTGAGTGCGCCTGCAGGCCTCTCCTTGCTAATCTGTTGAGTGCAGATGTTCCTTTGTGACAGCCAGTTAACCAGAGGGCAGAGTGGCTGCCACGGTTTAAAATTTGGAAAGAGGAATTCTAAATACAAATCAAAGGATAACTCCTGTCAGAGCAGCTTGTTTGCTCAGCCTATCAGTTCACTGGCAATGAGCTCAGCCCCAGTTATTGTTTCCTACACACTGCAGAAGAAGATTAGGATTGTTGGGAGGCTTCAGATCCTATGGAAGCTGAGACCTCCAGTGACCCACAGCTGCTGCGGTAAGCGTTGCAGGGAAGAGTGGCTGCAGAGACACTCTTTGCAGCTGTGGTCTTTATGAGAGGACCCTTAATTCCTGATATTTGAGAAGGTGTGTGGGGAAGGCATCACCTCAAAAGGTCCCTTTTGTCTAGGATGGATGTCTTTGGTGATTCTTCTGCTGCGGGCTGTGTCATTGCCTCCCCATTAATTGCTGAGTTCAGTTTCCAACTTCATTCAGAGGCTAGAATGTTTTCTCCAAAATCTGGTTCTCCTCTGGGACTCTGAACAGTTGCTGGCATCCGCAGAGATCAGTGACTCTTGGGATCCTGTCTTAGCATCCCCCTCCTTTAGACCCACAGGCTGTGACAGTGTAGCCAGAGGGTCTCACTCCTGACAAATAATCCCCACCAAGCTCTCCACCCAGGGTTACCAGGTATAAAGGCAGATAAGTACCAAGGTCCAAGCTCTGCAGGAACCAGCTCTGGGAGAGCACCTTGGTGGAGCAGTGAGTCGGTTCAACAGCAGTTCACCAACAGTAGCGTGTCCCTTCCCAGCAATCTGTGCCCAGAACTCCCATCCTTCCTCTTGGAGACTCCCATCAGCTCCAGGTAGGCACCACTGAGAGTCCCTCACCCAAGCCCAAGTCCTGACAGCCGGGCTGGAAGGTGGCTGCTGGGCCTGAGCTGCTTCCTGACCAGCGCCTGACATGGCGTTAACCATTAACTCCCTGCTCCGAGGCACGCTGGGAACACTGTTGTTTTTTAGGGCACTGCGAAATTGCTTTGTCCTTTCCTGCGACATTCCGGTGACGTTTCTCACTGGGATCCTGCCTGGAGCTGAGCAGCCTTTCCTGGTTGCAGCCAAAGCAGTCAGCCTCTCAGCAGAGCCGCGGTTCCACGTGGCCTTTGTGGTCTGAGTTGTCCCTCGGCAGGAGGACCGCGGGGTGTGTGCTGCACACAGAAGGTGCTTGGGGTGCATGGCGGGTGCGTGCTGTGTGCTGTGGGTCTCTGTTTGCACTGCAGGCCCCTCCGCTCATCAGGAAATGAATCAGCTTCAATCAAAGGCTTTGTACTGGGGCACTGCAGTCTCCTTTCCCGGTGCTGTCTCCTCCCCACATCCTGCTCTTCACCTCTTGGCACTGTGAAATAGGAAACTCCGGAGTGTTTCCTCTGCGGGGAGTTCCAGCAGAAATGCTGGAGCCGCATCCTGCTTCGAGGCGGACCGCTGAGCCAGGGCACAGGTCTGAGAGCTGCAGCCACCTCCCAGAGGGCCAACAGTACCTTGGGCTGCATCAGCAGAGGGGTGGCAGTGGCAGGGGGGGAATTGTCTGCTCTGCTCTGCCCTCGTGAGGCCCCATCTGGAGTATTGTGTTCAGTACAGGAGAGACGGGGAGGCGCCCAGTGCCATAGATGGGGCTCTGGACAGCCTGATCTGGTGGGGGGCAACCAGCCCACAGCAGGGGTTGGAGCTGGGGGGGCTTTGAGGTCCCTTCTTACCCAACCGTTCTGTGGTTTGATGATTTTGTGTACTTAGTACATGCGATGCGTGGCTGGGATCTATCTTGAACCCAGGATGGCTCAGTGCGAATGCCCGCAGTCAGAGGGGACTTCTCATCCTTCATCAGCCGTCCTGGCCCACGCACATTGTCCCCAGCTCTCACTAACCCTGCCCTGCTGGCTCTGAGCTGGGAAGAGTTGCATTTACTGCGTCACAGCTTGCCCATGTGTTGAAATTGCTGCTCTTTATCCCTGGCAACAGGGAGTAGAAAGCGTGAGTGCTTGCAGCTGCTGTCTCCTGGGTGCAGGAGTGGGTGGCAGCTGAGGGCACTGACAGCTTCTGAAAGAGGAGGGAGAAACTTGAAACTTCACTGACACGGGATGTGACTGCAGCTCAGGTGAAGTTGGATGCTGAGTGATGTGGGCTGCAGGAGGGGTACTGGAAGTGATGGGCAGTGCTGGCTGGCAGTTGCTGTCCCTAATTGGCACTCAGAAACGTGTTTAAATAAGAAAAATATAAATATTTGCAGTTCATTTATACAGTGAGAATACGTGTATTCTGAGCTCTTGTATTCACTTTAAGCATTTTATTTCTTTCAGGTTGAGCTGCCTCTCTTCAAAGGAAGTATAACACACCGGGAACACGCTTTAAACACTCGGAATCAGCCGAGCTCCCATCTCAGAGGAACAGAAAACAAACATGGCAGAATTTACAGGTTATAAGGAGACCTCCAGTCGGCACCTGCGGTTCAAGTTGCAGAGTCTGAGCCGCCGCCTTGATGAACTGGAAGAAGCGACGAAAAATCTCCAGAAAGCAGAGGATGAGCTGCTGGAGCTCCAGGACAAAGTGATCCAGGCAGAAGGCAGCAATTCCAGCATGCTGGCTGACATCGAGGCCCTGCGGAAAAGAGTGCTAAAGATTGAAGGCAAGGATGAGGAAATTAAGAAGGCTGAAGAGCTTTGCAGGTTAATGAAAGAAAAACTCGAAGAAGAGGAGAGCCTCACCCGAGAGCTGAAGTCAGAAATTGAGCATCTGCAGAAGAGAATGGCAGAGCTGGAGAAACTGGAGGAGGCCTTTGGCAGGAGCAAGAACGACTGCACGCAGCTGTGCCTCAGCCTCAACGAAGAAAGGAATTTGACCAAAAAGATATCTACAGAGTTAGAGATACTGCGAGTGAAAGTGAAGGAGCTTGAAGCATCCGAAGAGAAGATGGATAAAACCGAGCAGAGCTTAACAGGTGAGTTAGAAAAGCTGAAGTCTTTAGCACTGAGCTTTATCAGTGAGAGAAAACATTTTAATGAAAGAGAAAAGCAGAATGAAAAAATAATCCAGGAGCTCACGCTGAAACTGGAGCAAAACAACAAATTAAACAGGGCCGATCAAACTAGAAATGCATCCAACTTGCTGGAAAGGTCATCAAACAATCTCCTGGACAGAAATGATTTGAGAATTGAAGATGATTTGACTTCTGCGTTGCCCTCTAAAGAAACCAGGCGGAAGGGAAGCGTAGATTACCTAAAGCACGTAGAAAATGAAACCAGGAATAAATCAGAAAACCAAAAGAATAAAAATCAGGAAGACAACAAAGTGAAAGATCTCACCCAAGAAATTGAGAGGCTTAAAACTCAGATCAAACATTTTGAATCCTTAGAAGAAGAACTGAAAAAAATGAGAGCCAAAAACAGTGACCTGCAAGACAGTTATTTGAGTGAGCAGAATAAAAACAAACTTCTCACCAGTCAGTTGGAAGAAATAAAAATGCAAATAAAGAAACAGAAAGATCTGGAAAATGGAGAGGTTGAAAATGAAGATGCAAGCTTCTCTAGCAGGGGGAAACATGACAGAGCTAAATACAGGGCTGTTGCAGCAGATTTCACAGCTGCCAAGCACAAACCAAGGGAGGTTTCGCCCCAGCAGCGCCGGGAGAGAGTGAGAAACAGAGATTTCTCCTTCAGCAATGACAGCTCCAGCCATGGCGGTAAGCAGACAGCCAGCCCGAGCCTCATGAGCAGGAAGGCAGGAAAGGCATCGGGTGCAGCTGCCCTTGCAGATGTTGCTGCAACAGACGTGAAAAGACTGGAAGAGAAGTGTTTGGTTTCCACTTTTTCGTCTGGTCAGAAGGAAGCTTCCTTCACGCAGAACGAGGGGAAGAGATCCAAAGAGCAGCCCTCTGTCCTCAGTCGTTACCCCCCCGCTGCTCATGAGCAGAAATCTTGGAAAACACCTCCCAAACCCGTTAGCGAGCTGAGATCCAAGGCTGAAAAACCATCTCAGGTAACCCGCGGCAGCTGCCAGAGCGGCACAGACACGAGGGATGAAAAATCGAGCAGAGGGGAATCGGTGGCTTTGTTGGCTGAGAAGCTGAGAACAAATCAGGGAGAGGGGAGCGATGCTGTGGGGGACGCGCAGCAATGCAGGGGGCACTGCGCCGCTTCCAACGGCGTGGCCACCGCGTACAGGTGCCACGTCTCAGCAGCAGAGTCGGACTGTGTTGGCTCTAAGGCAGAAGCGGCGAACGCCTCGACTGCGTCGCACCGCCAGCCCTTGGAGGGAAGGGCTAAAAGAGCCGCCGTCCCCCAGGAGAAGGAACTCGCGGATGTGCCGCTGGAAAGCGTGAGAGCATCGCCGCTAACAAAGCGTTCGCATCGCTCAAGGAGCCAGGAGGACATCCTGCAGATTCTTAAGGAGGACGCAGAGCAGTCTGCAGCAGCAGGCCATGTAAGTGCTGGCTTAAAAGCGGACTCCAAAACCGTCCAGAGTAGTCATGAAAAACTTAATTCAGATGAAGAAATGGGGAGAAGTAAAAAAGCGAACACTCAGTCGGATTTTGAGACAAAAAAGAAAGCCAATCCCAAGCAGTTCTCTAATTCCAGGGGAGTTTTTAGAGCATCTCTCTTTGAAAATGACAAAAGCGCTGTACACGAGGAGGACTCCTCTAAGGGTGTGAAACCGTCAGACGCCGACACTGGAGGACTCAAATCCAGAAGGTCGTTCAGCCCAAGAGAAGCTCTGAGATCCAAAGCCATCATTAAACCTGCCATTGTGGAGAAGGACATGAAGGCCATCATGGGAGGGGCTGTCACTGAGACTGAGTCAGAGAAGCAGAAGTCTGTTTTTAAAGCGGTCACAAATAAAATGACGAGCAGTATCACAATCTTCCCTTCTGAGCCCACGGTTCCAAGGCCCAGCACGGACACAGCAGGAAAGGAAAGGCATATTACCACCAGCAACATCAGGGTTGCTCCAAATGAACCCTCCCCGATAACCAACAGCCTCCCCCAACCTTTTGAGGTCGCAGTTAATAGAAGTGCCCTGAAAATATCTGAGACCGACAGGACTGGAGATGCGGTGCTGAGAAGTAGAACAGAAACGGTGGTCTCCAGGAGCAGCATTGTGATAAAGACTTCTGAGCCCCCCGAGAAGAGCGCTGAGCTCCCGTTGGACGCAGCCAGCTCCAGGAGCCACGGCTCTTCAGACTCCATTTCATCCGAAACCAAACACGTCACTCTGAGAAGTTCATGGAGAACAAGGCAAGGCTTACATTCCCTGCAGGACTCTCAAATAAAAGTGGAGAAGAACACAGCTTCCAGCCCTACGAACACCTGCAGGTCTTCAGTGGACCTCTCCGAGATGGAAGGGAACAGCACTCAAACAAACTCCTCGGAGCAGAGCTCAGTGAGGAGCAGCGCCAGCACCAACTCCTGGAACACCCCTGAGATGGGCTCCCGAAGGACCAAAAGTAACTTAAGTGCATCCGAACTGCTGACACGCAGGAACTACACCAGTGATCCCACCACGGCTTCCCCCTGGCACCGCACCACGCTACCTGTAAGTGTCCCCATGACGCACTCCTTGCCGTATGATAGTTAGATAATTACCCATTTGGTCTCGCCGAGATCAGAGGAGATGGGTCCAGCTGGTGTAGGATCCGCTGTGCTTTTCATTGCTTTGCGTGGCACAGTCAGCTTGGAGTGGCGCTCTGGATGAGGAGATGAGGTGTGAGTAGGGGTGTCCCTCGGGTAGCTCCATTTGGGAAGGGCTGCACATGCGAAACCAGAGCCAGAACTGCTGGGCTCTGGACTGGAGGTGCTGTCTGGACATCTGAGCAGATCAGGGCTGGCTGGTTGCACAGGGTTGCTCCTTCCTTGGTCTGTATCATTACACCATCTGAAAAGTGAGGGCCATGGGAGTGGATTTCTTCTTTTCCTGTTCCCTTGGGTGCTGCTGAAGGGAGCAGTCACTCAGAGCAGGGCTGACCCTCACCGATGGTCTGTCTCTTGCTGCCATGCTCACACTGCCCTTCCAGTCCATTAGATCCCACTGCACTTCCCACTTCTGCTCTTTCCTTAAAGCTGATCTAAGCAGCTGCTGCCATTCGCATTTACAAAGAGGAGCCAGTGGGGACAAATTCACAACCAGGTGACTGCAGCCCTGAGGAAGATGAGGTGGTGGCAGTGTGTGAAATGGTTCTACTTCTTTGGCAGCAATAAGCACAGAAGCATTTGTACCATTTGCTTTGCAGAGAGTTTGTTGCCTGGCGTTGCAGCGTGCAGGTTGGCCTTCCAGATACATTTGGCCACTAAGAATACATCAGGGAACAAAGACATGGTGGTTGGCATTCATCAGCCTCAACGAACAGCCCAAATCTGCTGTTTTGAAGGGAGCTCTGGGGAATGGCATCACCCCCTGTGCTCGAGGCAGGTGTGTGCAGCCCCATCTCTATCCCACCTGTAGGAGTGAGGTTCCAAGTGATATCTTCTCCCTGGCCATAGTTCCTCATGTGCCACAGGCATGCTGGACTTGTGTTCCATGAATCCAGGCAGGTCTCCTTTTGTATAATGACAGCTCATGTACTTGGGAACACAGAGAGCCAGCCCTAGGCCTCCTGCTACAAGGTTGACTTTCTGGCAAACCACAAACATGCCTTGCAGCTCAAGAGGTCCTGCCTTGCAGCAGTCCTGCTGCTCGGCCTCACTAAATTTCATCCTTTTTTTTATTGCTAATGAGCAGCTCTGAGCAAGGCTGCAGGACAGAAGCAGGTCTTTGGGGGTCTGCTTGGGGTAGGTGCTGTAGGATCAGTGCTGGGGCAGAGGTGCAGGTGGAGGAGCAGCTCCCTCTGGTGCTTACAGCCCTTAAGAGAGAGCTGGGGAGCTGCATCACCTCCTGCTGTTATTCTCTTGGGCTCCATGTTTCAGGTAATCAAGTCAGTTTTCCACCAGCCCAATCTTTACTGAAAATCTGCAGTGGCTGCGTTAGTGCAGACACAAACAGCAGGCACAGATTGGACAAGCAGCAGTGCAGGGTGAATGGTCTTGGTTTCTTCTTGTGGCTGCTGTTGGAGGGACGTACTGCAGAACTGAGGTGAAAAATCCAGTGAGGCTCATCTTCGTGTGTGCCTTCCTACAAGGGTAGGGTTAGGGTGAGGGTGAGGGTGAGGGTGAGGGCTAGAGTTAGGGTTAGGGCTAGAATTAGGGTTAGGGTTAGGGTTAGGTAAGTAAGTAAGTAAGGAAAGTCTCCCTGAAAGTACCCAGGGTTGTGCTCTGTGCTTTGCTCGAGAAGCACACAGCTTTATCCCCGATTAATCCATCTAACATTCTGACTTCAGCAGTCAGATGTGCCCTGGTACCGATTGTTCTGTTGTTGCAGGTTGGGAACTTGAGGAAATCAGCATGCTTTGAGCCAACTCTGGGTTGCGGGGTGCTGGAAATCAGCATGCTGTGTGCCAGCCCCAGGCTGCAGGGCGCTGCTGTCCCCACCTACACGTAGCACTGCCCAGGTCTCAGCAGGGCAAGCTGATCTGTCAGTGATGTGAGTGCCTCTTGTGCTGTGCTTCACCCCAGCCCATTGCTGGCAGCTGGGAGAGGCATCTGTCTGCCTGCTCATCCCCCTGAGCTCCTCACCTGTGAAAGCCTTTTTGGACAGCATGTCCAGCTGAGCAGCCCCATGGCACTGACACTGTCGGCTGCTCCAGGGGATGCAGCACCTCTGTGCTGACCCAGTCCCCTCCAAAGGCAGCTGCTGTGTCAGACAGGCGGTGCCCACCTGCTGGGAAGCTGCCCAGGTTCATCAAGATGACTGACATCATTACAATAGAGGATGCCTCCCTTCCTTGCTGTTCCTTGCACACGGGAGCAGGGCTGAGCTTTGTCCTCCGTCCCTCACAGTGCAGAGCCCCCACGCCTTTTATCCCACATCAGTGCAGCTGCATTTCCCTGAGCAAAAGGTGAGTTCAGCGTCACCAGGAGCTCTGTAGCATTCTGATGGTGACGTGCCTTACAACATGCTGGAACTTGTGTGCGGCAGAGCTATCAGACGAGGTTTTCCAGCCCAGTGATGGCAATAAGAGGCGCTGACATCTGCTGTTCCCAGGGAGCTCGTGGGGTCTCTGCACTCTGGAGCTCAAAGTGAGAGGCACAGCTGCTCCAAATAACCCCCAGGCAGAAACTGTGGGCACCTGGGTCCCACGGGGTCCCACAGGGGTCTTGGCAGGCAGTCAAGAAAAGATCAGCAAGTGTAAAACGTAATATGGGTATTTATAAATGCCTCTGCCAGGAAAAGAGCACGAGGCGCTCCCTCATCACGTCCTCATTGCCAAGAAAATAGATTCAGGTTACCAGCCACCCCTCACCTGTGAGCTCAGACTCACAGTTGATGTTTTTAAGAGATTGCTTCGGTCACCAAATGAGGAGTTCCTGCTGCCCACATCCCTTCCTGAGTCTCCTGGGCCTGCAGTGCTATGGGCCCAGGGATTGGACACAGCCCTGCATGGCTGAGCAGAGGGTTCAGCACCCAGAACTTAAGGCTGTAATTTATGGGATGGATTTAACAAGCCTCTGTGAGGTAGTGGTTAGGTGAGGACATCCTCGAACTCAGCTGGTGGCTTCGGTGCCCACCTGCCAAAGGGAACTGAAACACAACCTCATACTGCAAGTCAGGGTTGGGGAACCCAGGGCCACAAACATCGAGTTCCAATTCTCCTGTTTTCCTTCCCACAGGAGGAAAGCAAAAATTTTGTCTCCAGTTCCAGAAGAAAACAGTATGGCTCTTCTGAGTACCTCTCACAGGCTGACACGGCAGGGAGAAGGGCAGTCCCCACCCTGGAGCTGCAGGACCCCACATCCAGCCCCAGTGCCCCACCAGGGCTCCAGGCAGAAGACCAGGTATGTGGATCTGAGGAGAAATGAGGGCTCAAAGGCACAAAGCCAAACTGCAACCCAACCTCCTGTAACACAACTCAGTTGTCCACATCAGGGGGAACCTCTCTGGAGAGCAGTGCTTCCCAGATACGGAGTAAATTAATTACTAATTTCTTATAACGGGAAAAAAGTAGTGCTTTATTTTTCCATTCTGGATTCACTCAGCTAGCTTTATTGCTAAGGACATCCTCCTGAGAATAAAAAGCTCTGCCCCTAGTTATCCCCAGCAGTGTGGTTTGCAATGGAGGGGTCGTTGTGTCAGATAACCAGGGACTCCCTTTCAGTGCACAGCCTGATAGACAGCAAATAAAAGCTTGGGTGCAGTCAGGTCAGCTGTAACACACTGTCAGCTGGTGCTCCTGCACTGCTGTGCCCTGCACACAGCCATGGCAGATCAGCTCCATCTCAACAGTGCTGTTCATTGTTCACTGCACTTCCCACATCCGTATCCCCAGCGTAGCAACAGCTGCTGTGTGCCCACATAAAAAAGGTGATGGTGAAAGCATGTGAGGGGCAGGGATGGGTCGGTTTGCCTTGGGCTTATTCCATTATATAAACCCTGAGAGAGCCGATGCCTTCCAGACTGCTCCTGCCACTGTCCTCCCCCCACGGCCCCACCACAGGCCCATGGTCCCAATGAGGGTGGGACATGAGGGCGATCACAGTGCCTGTCCCCACAGCCCCCAGGTCCTGGCAGGCCGTGATGCTGTGGCTTCTCTTGCAGGGTGCTTCCCGTGTTGGCCGGCTGACGTCCCGGAGATGAGCTGCGCTCCCTTCCACCAAACCAACACTGCATCACAGAGCGAGAGACAGGACTGTACTGAGCTCACGGGTGTCACATCTGTTTGTAACCTCTCCAGAAGCTTCAGCCAGCCAGAAAACAGTTTTCTGACACCATTTGTGAGATACAAGAGCTTTACCAGTGAATTTTTTCCCTCATTGCTGAAGAGGCAGCTGCAGAGACTTTGCTCAGGGGACTCCCACTTCTCACCTCTGTACCTGCAATCCTCACCTTCTCCATAGGACACAGCTCTGTCTCCGTATGAAAAACACTGACTTGTGTACCAGCCATGATTTCAAACGGAACAAAGGTACTCCTCGGACCAGAGAGAACTTCTCACCGATACCCACGTACAGATGAGATGCAGGAGGTGTCCTGTGACTGCAGCTGGGATGGCCATCCTACGCAGTGCTCAGCTCCTCCAGGAGCCTACGATCTCCACTGCACACCACACCTTCCTCAGGTCACAGCTCACCCCACACCTGCATTCCTGTCTGTAGGTGGGAGAAAAGCAATCTTTGGTTATTTGACCCGCTAACAGGGCAGGAGGGCAGAACAGCTTCCTCCCCTTGTGCTGTGCGTGATCTGCTGATAGCAGCTGAGCTCTGATGCTCAGTGATCACTGCAGCAGCCCCACAGCAGTGCACACAGCAGCAGATGTGCTGCTGGTTTGGCCCAGGAGGGGCTTTTCACCCACAGCTTTATGGCTGTCATGCTGGCTCTGAGCCCCTGAGATCCAAGGGATGCTGAAAGGAGGGCTTTTCTTCTGGTTGGAGAAGCAGGATATCCTTATTCCTTCCAAAAAGAGGGAAAACAGCAGGACTGGACCCCAGACTGAGCTCCAGGATGGCCGTGGAGCAGCCCCAAACTGCTCCCCCCCTCCTCAGGAGCCCCCACCTGGGACCCAGGTCAGGGGCTGCAGAGTTCTGTTCCCTTCTCAGTGCCACCGACGTCAGATGGCAGCAGTGCTGGGGTCACCCCTCAGCTCCACACACCCATAAGGTGAGGGGGCTGCATGTCAAACCACTGCAGCTCTTTGCCCCCCTCCCTCCCACCATGGGCTGTTCCTGGGGCTGGGCTGCACTACCACCAACCCCTCCCACGAAGGTGCTTCAATGGCATTATTTTATTTTTTTTTTTATTAGTCTTTTTTTTTTTAATAAAGATTGGCTGGAGGGGGAAAAAGGTTATTTGGGGGGGGGGGGGGGGAAAAAGTTCCCAGTTTCCTCTCGGCAGTTTTAGATGTTATCTCAAATCTGTGTTTTTTAGCACTGCAGTTTCTTCTGTTTCAAGATGTGTCCATGTGTCAGGTTGCCTCAGGAGGCAAAAAGGCTACGCTTTTAAATGAGTCCTGCAGCAGCTCCAGTCACCCTAAACTATATTAAATTATATCAAATGCTCTCTCCTACTGCTCTGTGGGGTGGGAGAGAAAGACTGCGTGCAGCTGCTGCCATAACAAAGCAGCCCCAAACCCCACATGAGAACTGAGAGAAATGGAAACCCTGCGGTTCAATGCAGATTGTGCTGCATTTCTCCTCCCCCCACTGCAACGCTGGTCCTGCAGTGCTGAAAATTGGTGGCGTTCCACCGTCTGAGAGCAGGGAGGAGCAGGAGGGCAACAGGGCACTGAGGGAAAGGAGGAGCCTGAAGGCTGATGGCTGGGAGCAGCTGCTGTGCGGCTGTCCCCCATTGTCAGCCCCGCGTTTTGCAGCGCAGATCTCCAGCTCTGAATAAACGTGGTGCCACCCAACCTCATTCTGCCACAGTTCAGTCCGAGAAGGAAAACCTCAAGTTTGAGAGAGGGGTTCTGCCCCGTCATGGCGAGTGCAATAGGAGCTGATTGTATTGCTAGAGCGATGACTTCAGGAAACACGATGTCTTCTGACTCAAATTGCACACTTTTTTCTTTTGTGTTTTGGTTTTTTTGTTTCTTTTTTTTTTTTTTTCTTTTGGAACGGCTGTAAAATAGTGTATGTGTAAATATTGCCATCACGGAAGAAATATTTGTAATTTTAGCATATAAATATAACGGGCTTTTAGAGGACCTGAGGCCACGAGGCTCATTCCAAAGGTGTAAATGTATTTGCTGCGTCAGCGCTCCTTGGTCAGAGTAGAGGAGGCACTGCAGTGTCCCCACTGCACTCTGATGGAGCCCCATCCCCACACACAGCCACCAGCTCTGCGAGAGGACAGAGGGGGTGCAGGGCTGCTCCCAGTGCTGGGGATGGAGCAACAACCACACAGACATTGCAGTGCAGCCCTCAGCTCTGCCCCTCGCACAGCACAGGGGGCTCCCAGCCGTTCTTTGCTGCTGCAGCTGATGGAAAGGATCCGGGTAGGGGAGGGGACGGTGCTGGGGCTGCATGGAATGTATTTTTAAAGAGGAAAAAAATATATATATAATTATCTATTTTTTTGTATTTGCGGACATAGATTTGGGCTGGGGCAGCTTAGTTAGAGGGCAATAATGCAATAAATGTTTTCATAACCACAGAGCCAGGGGAGCAGCTCTGCCCCTGCTCACCTCTCCCCGTCCCAGTGCTCGCAGTCTGCATGCCACATGTAACCACACTTCTCTGCATGTCTCTCCTGACTCGAACGCTGTCAGCTCTACAGTATATAACCAATAAAACTCTTCTCTTTTTACGTGTCTGGTGTGGTACATCCAGCCCCACGCAGTGCCATCTCTTGCAGCACCACCTGCAGCCAAACCAAATCCTTCCCCGTGTCTGTTACCATTGCAGCACCCATCACCCACAGTGCCCACCTCAGCCAGAGAGAGGTGGCTGATTTGCCAGGCATGGGCACAGCACCCAATGTGAGATGTGAGCACACAGTATGGAATAACAGGTACCTGCTGCACTGCTCTGCTCAGCCATGGAGCTTCACTGCTCCATCATTTTCAGTCAGCCACATCTCCTTGTTTTGGTGGCTTTGCCTTCCTTCTGCCTGCAAACAAATGACGGAATGCAACTTGCAGTGCATTGCAATCCTATCCCCAGTGCAATGCAGTATGACTCCAACCCTCTCATTATCCCAGCTGCAAACCATTGGCCTTAGCCAACCTGGTGAGAAGGCTGCTCATGTAGTGCTGCTCCCAGCCTCCTCCCACACTGCTGTGTTCCTGGTTCTCCTCCCAGGGTCCCTGAGCAGCCACTCTCCTGGATCTGAGCACTGCCTTCATGTTGGAGTTCTGGCACTGCAACCAAAGCAGCGCTGTCCTGAGGTGCACAGGAAGCTGGCAGCTCCCTTTTTCTGTCCTTGCCCACAGATCTGCTGACCCATCACTACCACCACCCTCATGCCAGTGCATCCCAGGACTGCATTCCTTCCCAAGCCAAGCTGCTCCCATCCCATGGGATGAGTTCTGGGCTCACTTCTCCTAGGCACAGGGCATGCTGTCTGTTATATTCCCTCTGAGAGTCCTCCTGCCCATTTCTCAGCAGACACCTCTCCATGCTGTTACCAAAGTACTTTTACTCCAGGCCATCCAGCCCTCCTTGCCCTTTGGCACATGCACAGTGCACGATACAGGAGTCCCAGCTTTCATGTTCTCTGTTCTCAACTCAAACTCAAGCCAGTCATTCTGCAGAGCTGCCATCAACTGATGGGAACAAAGCTGAGGGACAGCAAGTATACGGTGCACCCCGTGGCTTCTCACTCTCCTTTGGTAACATCAATTTCTGGGAAGAGTAACTATTGGAATCAACACCACCCCTAAAAAGAATTTGCAGCGTACAAATAAGTCGAATTGGAGTTAAGCCACCCTCCTTTATGGGGCACTTTGTGATTTAAAGCTGCCAGATAAAGCGAGCACCTCGGTGACCGCGGTGCCCTCTGCTGAGCCTTCAGATGTATGGCAGGAGACCTGGGAAGGTTTACAAAGAAACCACAACACCCCCAGAAGGTTATTTCTTTTTCCTACGTTTATAATCCAAATGCTGAGGCAACAAAATGGAGAGGCCATGCTTTGTGCTCACTTCTCAGTGCAGGCAGGACCATGGCAAGCATCCTCAGTTCCATACAGATGAGCACAGAGACCCGGAGCTAACAGCTGTTTATTGCAAAATAGATGCTGGCACCTGTCCCAAGCTCAGATATCCAGAGGATCAACACCTTCTTGCCCATTTGCCCATCCAAAAAGCACAACCAAGTGAGCACATGCATTCACTCAGCACCCAGAGCTCTGCTGTGGGTTTCTGGGGTCCTTCACCCTACAGAATGCCCCGAGCTGGAAGGATCCATGGGGTTCACTGAGTCCAAGCCCTGATCCCACACCTCAGAGTCAAGCAGGAAGGTTCAACTAGAAAGACCTCCCCTCCCCCCCCAAAAGAAGAAAAAAAACAACCCAAAAAACACAGCACCAATCAGTTTTATTCTCAGAAATACAGTTCACGTACCCATGGAGCGAGAAGGGGGGAGTCCCTGAGAACAGATGGGGAGCAATGCAGACAGAGGGTGCAGCCAATCTCCATCGCATTCATTTGGGACAGAGCCTGGCTGCCTTCAATCCCAACCTGGGAAGTCAGGGCAGCAGCTGGAAGGAGACCACGCCATGAGGAAGGATGCTGAGAGGGAGATCTGGTGATTCATTCAACTGTAAAACTTTCTGCTCTTCGTGGTGGGAAAATGGCAGAGGGAGCATTTAAACAGGACCAGCCATTACAGGTGGTACCAAAGGTCCACCAAACCCTGGTAAAAGAGCAGAGCAGAAAGCTCCTGAATTGGAATGGAAGCCACCACCAGAGGGAGGTGGCAGTCAGTCCCTGGAGGACAGAAGCTGCAGGTGAAGAGCTGCTGAGTGCAGGGAGTCACAGCACTCAGGAACACAAGTGCTGCAAGGAGCAGAGAGCTCCTGCTTCTGGATGAGGGATGGAAGTTGCATTGCACAGCCTGGCAGGGCCGAACCTCAACACGAGGTCAGCCCACACTGGGCCACCTGATCCAGGTCTGCAAAACTTCAGCTGGCCATAGGATAACAGCGTTCTTCCCTATGCTTCCTTCACCCCAGCAACCCCCCAGGACACAACCAAAAAACAAAGGGAGCAGGCTGGGACCTTCACCTTCACCCAACCCAACTGCTCTACTTTGGCTGCAACCAGTGCTACTGACCACAGGCAGGGCCATGCAGGGAGCACATCTGTGCTTGTGCTGATCCCCAAATGCTCCTAAAAGCCTGAAGTACATGGAGCTGATCACTTCTAAAGCAAAGGCAATGTGTGGAAGGAAGTCTGTTCACATGTGAATGTCTCAAATTACTCTGCATTTAAGGGGATTTGGTCCACTGAATAATCTAAGTCTCCATCAGAATGATCATAAATAGGAGAACACCGACTCTGAGAATAACATCAGTTATGTGATGTGGCTTGATACTTGGAAAATACAGCCTGGTTTTGCTGAGGACTATTTTAGTTCCCAGTGAACCAGAAGAGCCTGTCTGAGCTTTTGGCAGTGCTGAAGTGGGAAGACAGTCCTCAGCACTACCACAATCCTATGGCCACAGCACTGCCAGCAATCCTATGGATACAGAGACCCACAGAAGCTCAAAGCCACGTTACAGAGCACAGCACCTGATCCTCAGATCCACTTCCCACCTTCCATCACAACAGCTGAGAAAACAGATCCACTACTGATGGATTTTAGAGGCTTGTCACACTGTCATCACAGAACACCATTTCTCTCAGTAGTATTCATCACCACGAGGGCAGTGAGACACTGGAACAGGTTGCCCAGTGAGGCTGCAAATGCCCCCTCCTTGGGAGGGCTGAAGGCCAGGCTGGATGGGGCTGTGAGCAACCTGGGCTAGAGGGAGGTGTCCCTGCCTACAGCAGGGGGTTGGAACCAGATGATCTTAAAGGTCCCTTCCAACCCAAACCATTCTAGGATTCTATCCCAGGTAGGCTTTTACCTAAACAGAAGGGGGGAAGCTTTAAGTCTCAAATAAGCCTGTGCCCTCTGAAACTTCCCTTGGACACTGCTCCTTTGTGCCCTGCTGGACTTCCAGGTCCTAACCAAGCAGCATCAAGTCCTCTCATCTCCTGGAAGGGAAAGCAAGGATGACCAGCTCTGATTTATCCCACTGTCCCTCCATTCTCAGTGCCTGCCAGAAGCTCTGCCTATGAAGATAGCAGATACAATCAGAAGGAAAAGTGATCTCCAGCTTGAAGACTGAGGCACAAGAAAACAGTAGAAGCAACATCATCAAGTCTGAAAGCCTGCAGATAAAACCAACACAGCTATAAATAAATGGGGGCTGCGGTCGTGTTTGTCTGTGCATCACCTTCAGGAATAAGGTGAGCAGTGACAGTGCTGAGGGAAGAGCAGGAAATGGTGGGTGCCAATCCACCAGTGGAACAGAAGGTGGGACAGATCACACATGTACACACAGAGCATCAGAGAGAACAAAGACTGAAAAAAGGGGAAGCAGGAAAGTGTGAAAGGTCACAGAGATGGCAGTAGGCTCTACGAAGACAGATGAGAAAAGTTCAGAGAAGAAAAACACAGTGCTAACTAGAGATAGGGGAGAGAAGGCCCTAAGTGATTAAATAAGAGCACTCTGCACAATGAGAATGTTCTTGTGCACTGGGTGAGAAAGAAGGAAAACAAAGAAAAGCAGCCAAGTCAAAGTCACTTTAAGGATAACCTGGCAGCTGCAACAGTGTCTCCCCAACCCAGCAGAAAGGAAAGTGTTTCCCTTTGGGCTTTGAAAGAAAGGGGTAAAAACCCAGCAGGCACAGCCCAGCTGCAGCACACACCGATCCTGAGATGAAGTCCTTCACAAGCTTACTGCCTGGGCAGTTCTGCTTCTATATAAACAAATACAAGTGATTTTTTCCTAGCTTTTAACTTTGGAATGTCCAGTTTGGGTCATTTCTTCTGTTGAAAATATTTACCACTGCAGCATGCTTGGCACACTTTGGAGGGGTCGATGCGCTGCTACTGGGAGGGAAACGGTCGCACCAAATCCTCAAATGCTGGGGAGGAATAAAATTGGTCAAAAATATTATTCTTCAGAACAAAATTAAGCAGAAGTGTTTCCACAAATTCTACACTAAGCTACAGCTCGTAGAAGCCAACTTCTAAAGGGCCTTTTCTGCAGTTACTGGATTGTAAATACATGAACAGGTAGAATAAAACCCTCTAAAACTCCAACTATGAGCTTGACGTCCAGAAAGCACCCACAGAGTCAAAAGAAACCTCCTTGCCCAATTTGGTAGTAAAGAATTCTGTACATGCTGACACTTGAAACAGCTTTTTGAGGTTTTTGTCAAGGGTTGCCAAGCCAACTGGCTTCTATAAGGCCATTCTAACACAGCAACTTATGGCCAAGTCCCTTCAGCAGATGCTCTGAACAAACTACACGAATGTCTTCATCCCAAGCTGTTCACCCAGCAGCAGCTCTGTGGCTTTGTTAGTCCTCTTCTGATCCCTCCTCATTCCCTTAGATGCTGGTAGCTTGTTGTGTGGGCACCCCAGGTGTAGGCTGGCGGGGCAAAGTATACATGGCCCCAAGAAATTGGTCTGCAATGCGCCCCGCTTCTCTCAGTCCACTCAGCAAAGCACCATGCACAGTGGCAGGGTAGTTGCGAATCGTGTGCTCTCCTGCAAAAAACAGGCGAGGAATGGGCTGCAAAGAGGAACAGAGAACACAGAGATGACTTCTGCACAGATTCAGTTCCACGTTTGTCAAAAACAAAGCGACAAAGTGCTGTTACTTATCGTTGTATCAAAGCAAACACATCGGCAGAACTCTACTTCAAAAGCAGCACTTAGAGGAGCTGATAGAGATTTGCCTCCTAGGCTGTATGCTGAAAAAGGATTTCAATGCTGTATCTACAATTCCATGGCCACATTTACATACATGTCAAGAACAAATGACCACGTCTGACACTAGAACATGAACTCTGGGACAACGTGCAAAAGAGAGCTTCAGCAATTCATGTACATTGGGGCAGTTTGATCTCACAAAAAGTAGGACAACAATTTTGTCTTATATACTCCATAGAAAATCATGTTATCAATAGCTATGTTTATTAGATACCTGTACCACCATAAAAACCACCTCAGTAAAGCCAAAGCCCTACAGTCCCTTCTGCTTTTGCTTTCAAGACTTCATCTTCCCAAAGAACCAGAGACGTCTTGGGTCTTCACTGTGCTGGCTCCCAGCCTGGGAGAGAATTTCTGCTTTCTCTCCTCTGGACTTCACCTTTACAGAAACCAACCCATCATATTTTGACACATTTCTACGTAGAACTGAGAAATACCTCACCTGTGGAGCACCTGGAATGGCTGGCCCTGGAGTAATTGGTTGAGCCATCAAGTCATAGTCATTTCCAGAAGATCCAGCTGCTACATAGGAGTATGAGCCCCGGGCCCACGGATCAGCACGCCAACGGGAGACCACAGTCTCTTTGGGCTGAGAAAAGAGAAGCTTCAGTTGCTGACACAGTTCATGTTCTGTAGCTAGTACAAAATAGAAAAGATGCAAAGTGAAGGACAAAAGCGAGGGAGAGAGACAGAGGGAGGCAGACAGAGGGAGGCAGACAGAGGGAGGCAGACAGAGGGAGGCAGACAGAGGGAGGCAGACAGAGGGAGGCAGAGGGAGACACGGGCTGTTCATCCTGGAGGCTGAAGGCTCTGGGCAGATCTCACAATGGGCCTCAATGCTGAAAGTGGACCCACAGTAAAGCTGGTGCAGGTTACATCTATTTTAGGGAAATGAAAACCCAGCCAGAAAGAGAGAAGACGACACTAACAAGAAAAAGCACAGCAAGGAGGAGGATGGATTACATTCCAGAGAAGTGCTGTTGTGTTGGTTTAACTTTTCTACTTCTCCACTTTGATAGATGTACTTGCACAGCAAGTTCTGCATTCTATGCAGTTCATCAGACAGCACAGAGGAGAGTGTGGTGTATCCAGACTGCTGAATGGCATCCAGCAAATCAACACCACTAAGTGCTTACCACACGTAAGCTGCCAAGCTATAAACATGTTAAATAAATGTGCACTTGAGAGAACTCAGCACAACTCAGAGCTGCTTCTTCCTTTGGATGGTTGACCACCATACAGCAAACAGCAGAAGGCTGAGGATGATAAAGCCACTTTCAATAACAGCTCCACAGTTACCCTGCAATAAGGGAAACACATGGAACCTACTCCTTACATGAAATACTGCTCATGCCTTCCAGCACTTGGTCTGTCAACTGGTGCATCAAAGTTACCATCTACTTTTTATGCTATTGCAGGATACAGGCATCTCAGTGGAGGCTATCTGCACCAACCTGTGGCACAGCACTGCTGCCAAATATGCCTTTGAGGATGGCGAGGCATCGTCCAACAATGACATCATCACTGATATTTTCCATGATTCCTGCTGCTTCTCCTGCTACCAAGGCCAACAAAATGGGTGCTAACCAGAGAGCAAGAGGGTGGGAGAGAGAAGAATAAGTGAATTATTGAAATCCTCACATTTCAACCAGACAAGTCTGACTTATCTGCAGCTAAACCACAAAGCTAAGAAAAGCCTAATAAATTCAACAGGTAACAATATTTCTCAATCATCCCCTACCACGTTGAATTACCAGGATGAAAACAGATGAATACACACTATGGTAACACTTGGCATTATCAAGAAAACTGATGAATTGAAAACCAGCATGTAGAAGAGGGGAAAGGGTTTATTTGGGAGAAGACATTGACATTTACACTAGGATTTAACAGTCATCTGTGCTACACGTTCCAGGTAACTCAAAATCTTCCAAACAATCTAACAGAAAAAAGAGAATCTGTGATAAAATTTCACTAAGATTCAGCACAACAGCTCACCTGGACACATTCTTTTCATTTCCAATGCACAGAGATTGAAACAATCTCAAACTGAGCCAAAAGGAGGAGTAGAAAACCATCCAGAAAAAGAGCAATTTGAGAAGAATTCAGATAACAACACGTGTTATGCTGCTTCTACGTTTCTTGTTTCTGGATTGATAATTTTCTCCCTAGTTTGTTCTCTAAGCTAAAGAAGTCTCTCACCAAATGCTTTCACTACAGGAATACAACACACAACAGAAATAAATGACTGCAGCATCACAAAGTCAGTCAGTTCTACTTTATTCCATCCTGCTATCATTTTAACTCTCACCTATGTATCCACAAAAAAGTGCAATTAACTTTTCCCCTTTCAGCCATCTGACCCAATGGGAAGCAAAGTAACTTCACAGATGTAGCCTCAAACTCAGCACTGATGAGCCCATACTCTTCCATGCTCTGTCCTAATTTATTGCAACTCTCTGCTTCTATTTGCCTTCCTACAAATACTCCTTCTCATATTCATGTGTGAAAAATAACAGCACCTGTAGGAGTGCTCTTTTCTGGATCTGAGTCTATACAAACAAGAAACTGGCAGAAGACATGCAGCACAAATACCTTTGTACAGGTTCCAAAACAAGAAAAGTTCCCCTCTGCTTGCAGTAGTGCTACCAACGTGACCAAACAAATTGACACTTGGATCCCAGAAGACACGATCAAAACACAACACAACCTGGAAGCAAAGAATCAATAAAATCAGGGGGGGAGAAATCAAAATCAAAATCAAGGCATTTCCATTAATTGACTTTCATCACTGAAAAAGTGCAGGAAGGAAAATCTGGAGATATATACATGCAAGCATGTACCTTTACTGTGTTTCATAGGTTAATACCCATCCTATCACATTATTTGTTTGCTGCTTACCAAGCTGTGCTAAACGTACTGTATCAATCTACTGCTGAAATGTAACCAGTTAAAAAAATCACCCAGGATACAAAGAAGAAGCCTTTACAGTTCTTCAGATAACTGTCAACACCAAAGCCTAGCAAAGGAGGAACAGAAGAAACATTCTCCTTCCATCCACCACAACCATTTCAGATTCCACCCATCACAACCCCCACCCCACTGCAGTCCCTTCAACTAGGGCTGACCTTGTTAAGGTTGCCAAATCCCATACGTTGCACAGCTGAAGTTTTCCACTCAGGGAGAGGTGGCACAAACTGTACTGCTGGAGGCTGCTGCTTCAGGACTCCCAAGGGAAGGGTACACAGCACTGCATCACATTTATAAATGAAAGTCTGGCTGGTAGATCGAGTGTTTACAGCAATCACTTCACAGCCTGGAAAAGGAAGTGAAAAACTGTCATTTAATAGGTGAGGCAAGAGGCCTTATAAAGACCCCAGCGTTGGGTTAACAAAAATTTAGAAGACTATCTTAAAAGCACAGCCACAGCAGGAACTGTTCAGGTTACAGAGAAAACCTTACCAAGCTTAAGCTAACTTCTAGGCAAGCAAACATAACTGAGCACACAGTGCAAATATCAAAACGTGGAACTGACAGAGCATCCAAGAAGGACCACAGTGGGATAAGCCTAAAGGTTCACAATCTTTAAATACATGCATATCTACACAGCCAGTAGGGATGTGCTTCTCACTGAGTCACTTTCTCACTGAGTTTCCCCAAGATTAATGCACTCAAGAACAGCATTCCTTCCACGTGGATCTTACATCCAGAGTTCTAACAGCACAGCCTGTGCCATCTTCAGCAAAGTCCTCCTGCTCCAAAAACTTCAGTTACAACAGCGTGAAGAGACTGGAGAATGAATGGGAACCTCTTAATTGGTAACTGCAGCTGAAAATGGTGGAGTCAAGCCAGCCACAGAAAGAAGCAAAACCCATTAAAGATTCATGAATCTATTAAAGCTTCCTACATAACCTATCACAATAAGAAAAGTGGCTTTTTCTCACTTAAAGCTTAAGATAGGTGCATTCCATGAGATCCATCCCCTTCCAGAAGAGCTGAGCTGTGATTTATTTCATTGTTCTCCCTCAGAGCAGCTGTTATCATGAAGTGGCTCCACATACCTGAAGCTGTATAGCGAACCTGCCGAACTGCTGTGTTCAACTTAATATCCAACCCCTCTGCCAAGGCCACAGGCACGCAGGAATAGCCATTCCTCACTGTCAGGTGGCTGCCTGTGAATTCAAAGTCATCGTCCTAAAAGTGAAGACACAGGAAAGTCTGTGTTTGTAACAGTCACATCACTCCATGGAGAATAATCTGCAACTCTGCAGAGCTGCAAATGTTTCCAACAAACAGAATGAGTCTAATAGATTGTAAAGCCTATGATACTAACCAAGTAGTAACTATAAAAAGTTTTAGGAGACAGGATTATTACAGGTTGTTTCAACATTCAGAGAAAGCTTCCTGGAATTTCATCAGGGAATGACAACATCTAAGAGATCAGCATTTGCATTAAAGCAGATAGCACTCAAGAGTTTTGGGAATGAAATGGATTTTGGAGTACATTGCAAAACAAATACATTAATGAATTAGCTACCTGGTCCCAGTGCTTCAGTGAAAGTGTAGAGAGAGGTGTAGCATTAGCAAATTCCAGGTTTGCAAAATGCCAGTCAAGTATTTGCCTATCCCTTGAAGACAGATAAACATCACTGGAAGAGAATATGAGACAGAAGACATTTAGCCTGTTGGAGCAGGGCGTTGTGAACACGTTGCTTTGGAAAATGTATTCGATCAGCTCTTCCTCAGTGGGAGAAAAAGAACCAACAACACAAAGCAAATGCCAAAACCAAACTCAGCCAAGTCACGTTTGCAAAGAAGAGTATAATGCTGTAAGGAAATACTATTTCCCTTCAGAAACACAGTGATACATGAATAATGCTCTGCTCTCCTCATACTCATCTTTAACACTCCTATCCTTACCTTGGAGGATTGGCTTCAAGTTCCTGCAGCTTCTCTTCCAGCTTCCCTTGTGTTTCTGCCAATTCATCATACTCCTAAACACAGTAAAAGTTCATGTTAAGCTCAGCTCATGTTCAAAAGGACTGAGAGGTATTGCATGGCATCCTGCTGGATCTGGCTCCAAGAGAAATAACAGCAAGACTCATGGGTTTCTGTGAAACCTAAATCCAGTTCTTCATTTTTCCAACATTTCATTCAGCATACTGTACTCTCTTGCTGTTTCTTACACAAAGCCTAGGCCACACTGCAGGAAAAGAGCTGCTAAATGCTCTCTGATATGATCTAACATAGGTAGCTAAATCCAAACCTTCAACATGTTAATACTCTCCACCTTAACTGAGATATTAAATACAGCCTTGTCATCAACGTATCAACCCAGAGTTACAATCTCTCACATTCTGAAAGAGTGTCAGAACTGAGTGAGAGTTGTGGAAACATTTAGATGAGATTATTTTACTTGGCTGGGGAAGTTTTCAGAGATCACTGAATTGAGTGTTGCACGTATGCCATCCATTACCTTGCAAAGTGCAGTCAGATCTCTGTGTTTACTCTTCACAAGGAACTCTGCTGTAATATCCCGAGGTGGCTTCACTTCTGATGCTTCCTTATACTGCTGGTGGAGCTCTTTAATCTTCTCTTTCAAATTTACCATCTTTTTAAGAGGAAGTGGGGAAAAAGAAAGAAACAGGGCTAGACAGATTTCATGAGTGACTGTCTAACATGGATATTCACCTCAAATTATACCACTGCACCAAAGGTGTCCAGATGTTACTTACATGCCATTCTACACCTACAGAATCACAATAAATATCACCAACTCCAGAAGAACGTGGCTTAAGCACAACATCAGTGACTTCTGACTAAAAACCTTGCTAATGAAAAATAAGAATCAGCTGTCCTCAGACATTTCTTCATTTGAGAAACTCTAGAGATCTAAAAGCCTCCCTACCACAACTAAGTGGGACTCCAGAGGCAGCCTGGAACACCGTTCCTACATTAAAATCACAGATTTGATTATCCTTTCCCCCAGACTCAGCATTCAAAGGGTTTTCACAGTTACACGGCCGCTGCTGCTCCCTCTCTAACAGCTGCAACAAAAGCTATGACATAACACAGTGGTTGATCTCTTGATGTGTTCTCTTTCTTTTCCTAGATTCATGTTTTACCTCTTTACCTATTCTCCTGCACTTCTATTTGTACATGAGGACAAAGTTCTCTTACAGAAAAGAGAAAGAAGCCTACTCAACTTGTATGGTAGCTTTCAAATCCCTTTAAAAGGATTTTCTACTGCACTACTGCTCATGTCTTTTGATATTAAAAAAAATCAGGTACTTCCCCTTATTATTTCTGAAGAAGTTTTTGAAGCTTAGAAAAGCAGCATGAATTAAAATAGCTCTTCAGGCCTCATTTGTCATAGCAGTGATACCTGGCAAGCCTTAGAACAGCTGGCCTTTTTAAGAACAGTATTAATAGCAACTGTTTTGTGGTGTTGTTTGGGTTTTCCTTGGAGAAACACAGTGGTAACTTCCTATTCTAAACATCATCATTGGACAAAATCTGACCTTGTTAAGAAGATCTTTCAATTCCTCCTGTGTTTTCACAATTTTTTTCCAGTGTTCAATCTGCTCATCCTTCACGTGTTTCTCCTGCAATCTGGAAGAGGCAACAAATAAGAGTCAGCTCAGTACAAAATCCTAGCAGTATTGAAAAAGCTCATTATTACAATCCAGATGAAATGCATAAAAGCACACAGGATGCTTTAAGAAAACACCTATGAATTTTCTTGTTGCTGCATACAAGTATCTGCAAATGAAGGACACCTGACCAGCTGAAATGCAAGCCTGACATTATCCAGCATTATTAAAAGGTCTATTACAAATGCACTACCTTTCCAGTAGAATAAGTGGGCAGTAAGCACACCCCCTGCACAGTAAGTTACTTATCCACTATCAGTTACTGAAGCAGTGACCCTCAGGAAGCACTCAAGAAAAGACGTTTGCTACTTTAGAAGTCTTTGGCATATTTTGCTTCAATAAATAGGAAATACAAGAAGCACAAACAAGAAGCTGGAGCCATCCATTGAGTGTGCAGTGCTAACCCTAGGAGCATCATAACCTATTTTTTTAGTCCTCCATAAATAGAAAATTCTATGGTGAAGAGTGAAGTCACTTACTGTATGACAACCTCCAGAGCCTGACCTAGGGAGACAGGCTTATTATTGAGAACATTAAAATCCAGCTGATGACTGAGATAAGAGGTGGCTTCCAACAGACGATTGAATTCTTGCTCCACCATTTCATCTTTCTCTTTTGGAACCTACAAACCAAAAGAACAAACTTTGTTCTTCATATTCTATTCACAAATAAAAGAAAATCTAGGTCACCACAGCTCTGAGCTTCAGAGATACAATACTGGAGTGGCAGAGAGAAAGTTTTAGAAGACTGCCTTTCCCAGTGCAGCCTGAACTCATGGCACCTCATAACTAACGTTCAAAATGCTACAATTCCTCCAATCAATGCTAGTCAGAACTTGGCATGCTTCCACAGAGCACATCTCAGTGAAAAGCAATTAAAGGACTTGCTATTATTGAGCTAAACAGACCTTCCAGAGGCACAGGGAGCAAGACTCCACTGAACAGTCCGATTCCATAACACTTGTTCTGAATGAGGAGCAGTAAGGTAACTCTCCTGAAGTCTGAAATACCAAGAAGCTGCTGATAATGATTCCATTCCATGATTCCATTCAACATCTTCATTAGTGACAGGCAGAGCATGCCCTCAGTAATTTCACAGATAATACGAAGCTGAGAAGAGTGGCTGATACACTATTATGGTCCTGCTGCCATCCAGAGGGATTCTGACAGGCTGACAGGGAACCTCAGGACATTCAGCAAGGAGAAGCTGAAGTCCTACATTTGGGGAGGACCAACTCCAGGTGTTAGGGCATGCTATGGGCCAACCAGCTGGGAAGCAGCTTTGCAGGAAAGGACCCAAGCATCCTGGCAGACAGCAAGGCAAACATGAGTTAGCAATGCAATGCAACACATTTAACAGTCTGTAACTGGGATGCATTGGCAAAGTACTGCCAGTAGGTCAAAGGAAGTGATCCTTCCCTCTGTTGAGCACTGGTAAGGCATCACTGGGAGATACCATGTCCAGCTCTGGATGTCCCTGAACGAGGGAGCTGCTGGAGAGAGAGCAATGAAAGGCCAAGATGAGTGTTGGACTGGAGCATCTCTCCTGTGAAGAATGGCTGAGGAAGCCAGATTGTTCAGTCTGGAGAAGAGGCTCAGGGCAGGATTCTGTTGATAATAATAAATTCCTGAAGAGAGGGTGCAAAGAGGACAGAGCCCAGTTCTTGTCAATGGCAGCCAGGACAAGAGGCAATGGGCACAAAGTGCATCGTGAGAAGTTCTGTCTGAGCATCAGGAAACATTTCTGTGCCATGCAGGTGAGTGAGTAATGGAACATGCTGCCCAGAGAAGGTGTGGAGGCTCCTCCTCGGAGGCATTCACAAGCTGTCTGGACACTCCTGGGCAAGCAGCTCTGGGCAGCCCTGCTAGAACAGGGGGGGACTGGGCCAGATGGCCTGGACAGGTCCCATCCAAGCTTAACCATGCTGTGACTGTGCAAAGGGAAGGACTCAGCACAGCAGGCAATTCTTTCAAAGAGGGAGTGAGGTGTCAACTGCCTGAGGAAAAAAATCAGCTACCTTGGGAGGAACAAACAGGAGCTTAGCTTCCATACAAGATCTGAAATCTCAAATAAAGATCTGTATGGAAGAAACAGGTTTTAGAAGCCTACAGATAAGCCTGAAGTAGACAGGCATGTTCATTACTCCCTCCCTCTCTTCCTAGATGCTGCCTTGTGCTACATCTGATTACACTGGAGATGCTATTTATTTTTAAAATATTTATAGAACCAGCATCAGACTTACAGCTTGTCCATTTGCTTCATACAGTGGGCACTTCTGTTTGATCTTAGCCAGCTCCATGTTCACTTGTTTGCTGACCACAGCCATGGGATTTCCTCCTGGAATACATTTTTTTGGAGTTAGAGTACTCCTGAGATGTCTATCTGAATTAATTAAGGATTTCACACTAAAAGCTATTTTAGAGAAAAAAAAAACAGCTTCCATAGCTACACATTAACTTCAGGAGCTTCTGAAGATTATGAAAATCCACTGACACAAAATGGTAACTACTGAAGAGGCCAAACGAGAACATCTCGTTCTCAATAATCAAACACACACAATTACTTTGGCCAGGAAAGGGAATGGTGTAAAGCCTCCTATTTCTTTAATATGGCGAATATGAACTTTCTCTCCCCCCCAGTTCTTTCTTATTCTGTAAAACTCACCAAGTCCTGTTACCACCATTGCTCCCAAATCAGCCACGTAGTTCCCTTTACGAAAGGTAGCGACTCTTCCTCCCACTCGATCCTTTTAAAAGCACAACAGATTACAGCTCAGGTAACGTTCAGGTATCACATCTTACTTAAGTCAACACAAACTTGACATGACATAGGCTCAGCATTTTCAAAGGCAAAGGTTCAGGGAACAGAATGTAGATTCCTTTTCGTAAAGAAGCTCTGCAAATTAATTTTGGCAAATAATTCGCCTAAATTAAAGGATAAAACATTAAAATTGCATTAATTAAAAAGAAGCCCATGTAGATTTGGACAAATTTAGGACTTACTGTGACTGTAAGAAAAATCCTTCATTGCCCACAGGCAGATTACATTATGTTTTACATTATATGTTGCCTCCTACTACTTCCTACCACAACAAATCCAATACTGGAAACGATTTGTCTGTGCATAAGAGAAATAATTTCAGTGTTAGAAAAGGCCATTGGGCAGTTTTTCAACTATTCTCCTCAGCAGACACAGCTATAAACCCAGAAGACAACCACAAATCAGCAGCCCACATTGGAAAGGGGAAAAAAGGTTTTGATTCTTGATGTGTTAACTTAAGAGTGACGATTCTCTTCCTGCCATATTAAACACAGGAGTGGAAAAACAAACAAACAAACCAAAAGAAAACCATAATTAAAAGACCCCTTTTCCTACTCCCAGTGCAGCTAGCAGGACGCTACCCAAGAGAAAGATCAATGAACATGGTGCAAATATCCCATGCTACTCATTCACACAACACTGTATGTTTCAGCCAACCAGCAGCCCAGGCTGCCCAGAGCCACATCCAGCCTGGCCTTGAATGCCTGCAGGGATGGGGATCCACAGCCTCCTTGGCAACCTGTTCCAGTGCCTCACCACCCTCTGTGAAATCGAGCTCTGTACAACTTTACAATATAAGAAGACATATTACCATAAGCACACGGTAATAAACAAGGAAAGATTAATGCAGAATACAAAAGCAAGAAAAAAATCTTGCCTGACTACAACCTGCAATTCCAGACAATGATTCTGACCTATGGACAAGCTCTTGAGATGCAGACTTGCATTCTACTTTCCAGTATATCAGTTCTTAATCACTAAATACCTGTTTTTAATCACCAAATGAAGATTCCAGGCATTACTGGGCACTCACTGGGCACTCCTCCCTGACAAAGCATTCATCCATTCCCAATGAGAGCAGATATTGTTCCCAGTGAGACAAGATCAGAACTCCAGTGCACCCCGGCTGGCTGCCAAGTGCACCCACCTGTGGGCACACTGCAGAGATGCTTCCAGTCACTGCGTCAAGTGCACCAATGCCTTCCTGCTTATGATTCAGTATCAAAGTAAAACAGCACAGAAATTCATACCCTGGCTTCCAGAACTGTGACATCCATGCCAAAACTCTGCAACTGGCGAGCTGCTGCCAACCCAGACACACCAGAACCAATGATGATCACCTTCCCAGTCTTCTTGGCTAAACAATGGAAAGAACAAAAGAAGTTATAGGATGTGGAAGTGAACCACAATGTGAGCAGTTGTGTCTAAGATACCAGGAATGAAAAACAGCTTCCTTCTCATCGCCAGTTCAGACAACACAAACTTCTTATAATTAACCACAGAGAAAACTGAAGCATGTATGTACGTAATATGATAACAGCAAAACAAAATAAACACATTCTTAATGAGAATTAAAATTTGGCCAACAGCTTATCTGTGAAGGAAGGCAAGGAATTCCCATAGAGGGAAACTGCTTGAAGAATCTGATTCTTATTCATTACAGTGAGATAATATATCACAGCTTTATTTCCTCCAGACCCAGAAGAATAAAACCTGGAAAGCTTTGGAGCTGGATCAGTATTCACCAGCATCTTTCACTCATCCCTTACAATACAGGAACACTTACCCATGGTTAAGACTTGAGAAGTTTCTGATCATTGAAGTCAGTTATCACAGGATCAATAAAACTTCATACACTACTGCTAGGTTAGAGGTGAGGAACAGTTGACATAAAATCTCTTCTAATGAAGGTGCATTTCATTTCCTCTGTGATCACCTCCCATCAGTCATTAATTGGGAACCTGTCAACTGCCACTATGCTTTCTCTAAGTTTCATTCTGCAGCCACAGCTTTACAGCGATTTTGCCCTCTTAAGAGTGCTTAACTTAACGCATCAATGGCTTTGCAGCCTTTACTACTGTCAAAGTACCAGAATCCTAAAAATAACAGAGGTGCTCCAAGCTTTGTTCTAGTAAATTGTACAATAATAAACAGAAACAAAAAGAAACCCTGCAACTAGAAACAGCTTTCAAGTTCCTTACTTGGAAGAGGCTTCACTCTCTTGTAGATGCCGAAGTTGATCAGCCCATGCCGCTCCAGATAGCTGTGCACCCTGTGAACGAGCACCGTATCACCTGCAAAATTGTCACCATTTTAAGTTATTTGCATGTTCAGCAGCACAGAGCTAACAGCATTCACTGCTGCTCTACTGAGAAATACACCCTCCTGAAGGATATTTCTGAAGTTAATATCTTTCTGGAAAGCACAAATTGTTTTCCATGCTGTACAGCAGTTACAAATGCCTGAGAAGTAGTACAGAACATAAAGTGCTCCTATTTATCTCTTCCATTTTTGTAGCATAGGACACTGCCTCGACTGAAATTTAGCAGTAACTCCTTGTCCTTGTATTGCCTTCTTTTGTTACGGCCACTGAGTGATGCAACTTCTTAAAGCTCATGAATGAGAAACTCTCAGACCTTCAAACCCCCATGAAGTCGTAGCAAACCTCAACAGCTGCAGGTGAATTCACTTGCAAGAAACTTCTTTACCAACTCATCTACTTACCAACTGATGTGAATTCTGCTATAGATTTCCTTACTAAGGGAGCAAACTCTTACCAACTCTAGCATGAGCATGCTGCAATATGCTGCTTTGTAGCTGAATGTTCATCATGCATTCACTCCACGCTAACAGAAGGACTCATATGAAGTCCTCTCTTGATTTGGAAGAGCTTTTTCCCAAAACAGAAAAACAGCAACAATACACACAGCACGGCTTTGGCAGGAAAAGACTCGACTTACTATTGTAAGGTGCTTCTAATTGCTGGATAGTTGCCTCAAATGTCAACTGAATCTTTGGGTTATCCAACCAGAGCTGCAGCTGTTAAACAGTAAGACACATTAGTAAGCAATACAAAGGAGGTGTTTTCCATGTGTTTGTAACCAAATACTGATAGGAGAGTAAATGCTGTAACAGTCACTCTCTGCAGTGCTGCATCCATTACAAGAAGCTTCACCTTCCAGCATTCTTTAATGAACAATGCAATCCATTTTACTCTCCCATACCATTTAAAGTACCATTAAATGTCAATGCATCAAATTAGTGACCTCCTAATCACACATAAAAGAAAACACACATGGAAAGATGGCTTATAAACACAGTTTGCATGGCAATACAATGTGCCATATTTCAACTAGGCATGCAATATGAGCCCGCATCTGACTTTGCTGCATCAAATTTTGCATGGCCTTTGTAAAGGCTATAGAAGTAATTGCTATCTAATGAAGTTTATTGATCACCTAACCCATCTTTACTAAGATAATACCATGGAATACACTGCCCATGTACACACAGGGAGTAGAGCAGAAGGGGTGGAAGGGACCTGAATTGAGTCCAATTGTCTGAGCACTGCAGGGCTGATCAAAAGTAAAAGCCTACAATTAAAAGGCATTATCCACAGTGAGGAGAGTTACACTCCAAAAACAAGGCTGAGTTTATATATAAACATCTTGCTGTGCAATGTGCAGCTCACACAGCATATCCACACCATTTTACATTCCAAAACTAGTGATTTCCTTGTGTATTTCCTTGGGTTTTTCTCTACCATTACGAACTGAAATGTCTCAGCTCCTCACTGATAACATACAATGGATATCACACAAGCATGACAAAGAGGAAAGAATTTCCATATAATTCGGGAGGCCAACTGTGGCAAATTCACCTGCAGTAGATTCTGCTTATTTCCAAGTAATTTTTGACATTCTTTTTGATCGTGGAACAAACCACTTCATTCACAGTGCTTCATGCCACTTCTATACCACTCAATTCTAAGATTTCATTCTCAGCTGGAAGAATTCAAAGCCAACAATCTGTTTTTACATCCAATCTCTATGTACATATACATACAATTAATTACTTCACTTATTCACATTAGTTTACTGTTACTTCAAATGAATTTCAACTGTGTTACTCCTCAGCTGGGGAAGATCCACTCAAACCCTCTTGAAAAAGGAAATCCTGCCTAGAAAGTCCTATATGCAGCAACAGAACATTAAGTAAAAAGCAATACAAGGTGAGAGTTTTTGCCTTATTTATGCAATAATATATCATGTTTTCAAGTGTTCTACAGAGATAGTTTAATCTGCATGCTAACACTAGAACATGTGTACCAATTTTCTACTTGTTCCCTTAAAAAAGCTGCATTGGCAGAATCATCACAGTTTTGAGGTTGTTAATGACTTTTGAATACTGCAGATACAACACAGATTATTACACAGCTTCAGAGCACAGCTTTAACCAAGAATTGGGTAATTTGTTCCTTAGAGCACGACAGGATGCGAGAAATGAGACACCACCATCACAAAAGCAAAGATCTACTACTAATGATATGACAGTAACCACCAAAACTGGTTGCAAGATACTCTGGTACAAAAGTGGCCTACATCTCTGTGATCAATACTGTTACAATTCACTTACGGTGCGGTTCCTGATGTACAGAAACACCTTCTGAGTCTGCTGTGGCCCACTGATTATATCAGGGAAGCAGGCAGCTTCTTGAGATGTCATACGGTCATGTGGAAGTCTACTCTGGAAAGCTGCACCCTCCACACCTACAATAAAAAAACAAGTTGTCTACAAGCACTGCAATGGAACTGCTACAGGAATGCTTTTGGCCCTGCACTTCCTAGTGAATGCACACAGAGCAGCCACGAGGTGACACAGTGGCTAATTTCAGGACAGGCTTTTGCTTACTCTTCATTTCTGGAAGGCATGCAGCTTTCCAAGTCAACAGTTCTTTGGATTACAGGCATCATCTGGGGCTAACAAAACAGCTGCACTACTGCAAAGAGCCATCTGAGCAACAAGGAGGGCAGCAGAACGCAAATCCAGCAGAACATCTGTAGAGCACAACTGCTTCAGTGCTGCCCTTCATCTGAGCAGCTCCCACTTTGTCAGAGTAGGAGAAACACTTTGGAGCCATTCCAAACCAAAAGGCCCATGCCTTATGAGCACAGTGCCCCCTCTCACCTGCTTTCCAAGGGTGACATTTGCACTGAGCTTCTCCTCCTCAAGGCAGAGGACTCTGCCTTAGCTTCTCCTTTTCCATTTTTACATACCCATAATATGCACTGCAATGAAATGCAATCCTACTTACACTACTCCAACACCCCTCCCTAACTCATGTACAGCAGGTTTGGGTCTCTTCCTTAGAAAGGCTCCATGTGTAAAAGAGTAATGTTAAACAGGGGATATTGGGAACACCTTGTTCATAAAGGCACCCAGATACCTACAGGGAACTCCTTGTGCAGCTACGTGCCCCACATGCCTCAACCTCATTTAGGACATTATATAAAGCAGCAAACCAAGGCACAGCTGTAGGAAGTGCTACAGCACCAAGGGAGCGCAGAGAGGGAACCCTGCAGGCATGGCAAGGAGAACAAAACGCTGAGATGTCACATTTGAGCACTATGAACCTCAGATGTCCTAGGAGCTGACTTGAGAATAAGACAGAAGTGAGGTCTCAAAGGATACAAAGCAATGCACCCCAAGGAAGGGAAGAACACGGGTAATGCAGCAAGGTTAAGACTATGTGCTGAAAGTGGAATTGTTGAAAACTGTAACGACTATCAAAAAACGTTTAAGCTTGCAGCATGTGTCCCACTAACAAAGATGCTTCTTTTGAGCCTGAAGTCCACACGCATGTGGTGCTGTCCTGGGGAAAAGCAGGAATTCTCTTTGTTCTGGTGCAGCCATGCACAGCTTCCAAGCATTTCTTACAAGAAAAAAAAATTAAGGAATAGTTGTGGAAAAAAAAAATAAATCCATTCATAAGCAAAGATTAGAAGATCTAACTGAGTGATGGGCAACAGGAAAGAAAACTCTGACTGCTTACAAGAAATTGGAAGAGGAAATTAAAACCAGAGTCTATAGAGCTCTGCAAGGAAGTAAAGTGGAATTAATACTAGGAAACACTGAGACACCAATAATGCTTCTGGACAGCAATGGTCTGCAACGGGGAAGAAACACAGCAGAGCTAGCTTCATCTCCTCCAGTAACACACAGCTCTGGGCCCTTCAGCTGCCTGTCACTCCAATCCTGTACCAAACACACTACAAATGCATTAATGTGCTGAACCCCGTGCTCCTACCACGACACAACAGGCAAACCGAAGTCACTGCTCCGACAGCGCCGTGCAGGACGGCACAGCTCCATGCTGAGCGCTGGCAGAGGCTCAGCAGCACAACGGGCACAGATTGGCCACAAACTGAGAACCACCAGCTCCCTCTATGAGCTCGTGCCGAAGTGAGTGGGCATTCCCAGGGTACTGTTTAGGAAACTCTGCCTGCCATGCAGTGACAGCCAGCAGAGAACTGCAATGTACAGGCTTTTCAAGCAGTATGGCAGCTTTTGTGAGGAGCTTTGTGTTTGTAACCGGAACACCAGAGAAACTCCTGCTCAAGACAGCCTCAGGAAGAGCCCTACAGCATTCCTCTGCTGCTTGTATTTATTAAGGCTACACCTCTTACAACCCAAACTTCAAAACCACTCCAGATGAGCACTGCTATCCTTTATACTACCAAAAAATAATAATAAAAAAAAAAAGCCACAAGATTTGACATCACAATTTAGAAACAGCTGAGGTACTGCTGGTGAAGGGATACGTTTGGTTGGTTTTTTTGGTTTTGGTTTTTGTTTTGAGTCAACCATCCGATCTTAAACAAATGAAACATCCTTGAGTTTCCTTTGGCAGTGACACAGCTCAAAGGTAAATCACCCTGCTGTATCATTTCACATGGTAAAGGAAACAGAAACTCAGAACTGCTCATTGCTCTCCCTGGGGCACTTCTCACAGAACGCAGACATGTCTCCTCCTCAACTGCTATCTCCTCTTCACACACATTCCCAGGCACACACCACTTCCTGGCATTCTTATCAGCGACCCAATGTGCCCAGGTTTCAATTATCTTTATCCCCACAGAAGGGATGCTGAGGGCTGCTGCTCATTTAAAGACTTACTGACACATCTGCAGATGAACGACACTCCAAAGGGGAAAGGGAAGTCACTTGGTTAAGGGGTCAGCCCACTGCTACAGCACACCCTCGAGCATGTATGTAATGCAAATCATGCAGAACTTCCCCACACTCAATGTCTACCTCAATAAGCAATGCATCCTCCAGTCCACAGTCTATAACATTCAGAAATTCTGCATGAGTGGTATAAAGCAAAACACAGCTACGCTTCTTTGTACAGAAACAGCAAGGATGCACGCTCAGACAAACATCCTGAATTTGTATTTGCTTCAAAGAGCAACGTGAAGGTCCAGAATAAGGTTCTGGAGCCTTTGACTCCATGGCTTACAACCCTAATCCTCACACCTCACGTGAGGGTGAAAGCTGCAGAGTCAGAGGAAGATTTTCAGTAGCACTCAAAGGACTCAAAGTGAAGACACCAATTCTGTGAATTAAACAGCAAATGCATGCTGCTGGCATCAGTGCTTGGACCAGATGTTGAGTGCAACCAGCCACCATGTCCACTGAAAAGCAGACTCCTGATGTCCACAACAGATGGATCTCCTGGGCTAACCACTGGGACACATCTCAAACTCAACCCCTTAAAAAAAAAAAAATAAGAGACAAAAAAGACACGCTATGTTTCTTCAGCAAATGAGATAAAGGTCTACTCGTGCTGAAGCCCAGGGCTTCCCATGCCATTTTAACTGGGAAAAACTGTCTACATAAGAATGATCTTCCTGCATTTTTGGACTCCTCTGAACATGGAGAGGAAAGGAGGGATGAGAGATCGGCCTGAGACATTTCAACATAGGTTAGTGTCCTTCTCTGGAGGTGGTACAGACCTCAAGTGCTGTTTGGAAATACCCTTCACTTTCTTTTTTTAGAAAAGCAGGTGGGTACACAACTCCTGCACCTCGCTACGTTTGGGACACCCACACCCATGCGCACTTGCAAGCATCGCTCCCTAGCTTGGCGGCTCTTGCTCCTAAGTGGCAAGCATCAAACGCCACCCTCACCTGATGCTTGGCCGTCTCCATACCCTCCAGAATTGTCGTCTTGAAGTCCTCCTGCTTGCCCTGTGGAAGGAAAGAGGAGAACTCAGGGACCTTACTCCATAAGTTAAACCATACTGGACATAAAGGCCCGGCAGTTGGCGTTGTAGGTATTAAATGTCACCAACTAACTAAACCCATTTTCTGAGAATCCCATCTCCTGGAACTTAGGTCCAGGGGCACCAAACTCTGTGGTCTTCTAAGATGTTATCTGTGTTACTGGATCCTTTACATCAGACTTGCTTGGGAAATAAAGAAGCACACAGTATGTAGCATTCCTAGTAGCTAAATACTTATGACCAACTCCATCAATGGCTAGGATTCGAATAATAAGATTACACTTCTTACTGCCAAGATCTGGTAGATGGATAGCATCAGAACCTTAAGAATTTGATAATCTTGCCCTTGAGACTCCTGAGCCTCCTCGTACACAAGGGGATAGTTCAAACCATTCCTGAACCTCTTAGTTTGAACCTATAGTTCAAACCTCTAATTTGAACCTCTTCTTTTAGAGAGAGCCTCCTTTTTGTGCTGTAAGCCTTTCCTTGAAGGCTGATGAAAGGAACTTTATGTGAAAGCTTCAAAACAATTATCTTGGCTTCAGAGCCCCTGATACACCAACAGTGCTGTAACAAACTAACCAACCTCTGAAGCCAAGCACATGCCAGTACTGCTGAACCACAGATTGCCAACATCACCAATAGCCACCACTGACAGATAGCAACCTGTCAATGGAGCCAAAGCTGGAAATACGAGGAAAGTAGAAGCACTCATCTGAAAGACTGGAAGAAGTTTCAAAATTACATTAGGACAAAATTACACAGAACAGGACTACACTCCAACAGAGTATTTCTAAAATAGAGATGAGTACAGCTGCAGTGTCTACAGGAACCAAGCCAGTATCAGCTACCTTCCTACAAGCTGCTCACCTTCACAGGAGAAGCCAGCTCCAAGTCCAACTCATAAGCAATCTTCAAATATTGGTCTAAAATCATCACCTCTGGAGAACAGGAAAACACAGCAGGACTGCTGAGCGCTGCTGGGCTACGAACACCTGTATGAATGCTGCTTCAAGGCAAGTGTTCAGCAGCCAGCAAGCCAGGTGTTCTCTGCAGCCCAAACACACCTCCACTGACTCAAATGGAATGGGCACTTCCTACAGTTTAAGGATTTCATTGGAGTTAATGAACCAAATGTTCTCATATTTTGATAATCCAGATGAATACCTACAATGCCATAACGTTGGACGTCCACAAATAAAACTCAAATAGTTACAATAACTAAAAGTCTTGACGTAACTCAGGAATTCCTCACTCACTGAGTGTCTCAATTTCAATACTGGACTCCAAATCTTAATTAGCTTTAGAAGGACTGCCTGTCATACTGCTCAACACGGCTCTGACACAAGAAGCACATTTTCACGCAGTCACAGCAGTGCAGAAGAAGTACTTTTATATCATCAGTCCACTAACAGGAAAGTTCAGAGACAAACGTTTGTGTTCTGACTGAAGTCCCAGTTTGGGATTTTCTGGACAAACCCATCTGCAGTAGCAGGAGAGAACTCCTAACTTCACTTGCATCGTAAGTACTTTATTTTGCAGGGAGCATATTCCAACATTACAGGACCTGCTGCCACGCTAGGAAGAGAATGTAACAAGTCAAACATCAACATTTGGAATATATCAAAAGCCATAAATTTGCATTGGAAAGTTACAGCTGTGAAGGAATTAGAAAGATGCTGGCATCAGCCTGCAGCACCCACTATCCCTGAGTTAGCATGGACACTGAACAGAGGGAATGAAACTGCTCTTGGTTTCAGTACAAAAAAAGACAGTATTTTCTTGGTGTTAATGACAGCTAAATCATTTTTAACATTAGGTCACTAAGCTTATTACTTGCTTTGATGCAATTCTAAGCACTGTGCAGAGTCTACATACAGCAATAGTGAAACACGGCACGCTAGGGCTCAGATTCTCCCTCCTTCCCAGTGAGAAAGTCAGATCCCAGCTGTAAGGAACAAAGCAGAGAGCAAACTGCTGATCCACCAGCAAACTACTGCACTTGAACACCAATTGTGCAGGAGCAGAGTGCTGAGCTGGGTAAGGCAACAGCAGAACAGAGTGGGAGCTGAACAGGAATAAGGTCTGCAAAGAAACCTACTTCAAAAACTCATCCGATGCTTTAAAATATTGAATAGCAGCAAAGGATGGCCAAAAATAAGCACTGAGTTGGATGAGGAAAACAGGTAATTCGGATGAAAAGGCAGGGAGAGCACTGCTAAGTCTGACTATTCATTTTACAGAAATGAGGACTGCACTGAATTGCACCCACTTTTTATGAAGTAGCAGCCAGGCATGAGAACACTGCCAAGTGAGAATGCAGCAGAGCTTACAAGGCAGGAGCACATAAAGGAGATTCAGGAAGGTATAAAGATGGACATTTGATTTGGTGAAGGCCAACAAAAATGACCCTTACAGGGGAAAAACAAAAGCAGCAAGGTCCTGAATGCCAAAAGGGAGAGTGGCAAACAGGAACTCAAACATCATCCAGCACTGAAAGTTAATTGGGGAATTCTGTACTGTCAAACTATTTCTTCAAATAAAGAGAAGCAGACATTTGAAGACAATTATCTTCTGTTAATGATGAAATACTGCTGTAGCATGCAGCAACTTTCAGACTTGTACACCACAACACCTCAAGTTCCCCACAGCTGAACACGTTAATGGAACCCAGCCCAAAATAGAGCAACATTTCACTATGACCTGAAGTGCCACGTTTCGTTTCCTTTTAACATCACCTTCCTATCATTTCAGAGCAATGAAATGCCTGCTGTTACTTTTACACTTCTGTAAGACTGTAGGCTTTGCTTTTTGCATAGAAACCATCTCAAACACTCCACACATGAAGGAAGCCGAGGTCTGCACTGCCAGCAAACAGACAGTAACATGAAAACTAACTTCTGTACCTTCCCTAATTTTCATCATGTAATCCTGTGCTACCACGGATGTCCTACATTGCATTTCTGACCAAAATACTGTATTTTTGCTTCGAAGAAGACGCAGAGAGAACAGCTCAGCCACGAGCACTGCACCTACATGAGAACGTACACTGGACTCCACTCCTTTTCCTATCAGTGGTGTTTGAATAACAAGGTTCAGAAAACTTCCACAGCCAACGTAGACAAGTTGATGCTCTGGTGCCTGTGCTTCAGCAAATGAAGACAAGGACAGAAAGAGCCACTGATGTGCACACCTTCAGACCCTTTAAAACACAGCAAGCCCAATTAGGAAGTGACAGCTGGAACGCTCTGCCTCCTTCCACCTGCTGACCCTACACCACACTGTCATGCACCCCAGCAGGATTTCTGGGAAGAATGTCATGACCTGAGCAGACACAGCCTGCTGGAAAACTGCTTTTAGTTGAGAGACTGAACACAGAATGAGTGCTGGTGCACAGAACCACCAGCCTGCTGCTGCCTCTGCTTCTCCATTTCCTCCTTCACATTGATTCTGTCTTAAACCAAACTCAACAATCACTATTCTAGGCAGAAAATGGCACATGAGGAGCACACAGAAATTGTTTTAATATAGTATCTCAAGAATTAAAACCAAAGTCTTGGCTATATTAAATAGTAAATCTCATATCTGCTCAGTTGCACCGACTCTAAGTCCGTTTTTTTTGATAGATCAGCTACAATGAGCATGGGGAGCTTTTTTCATCATCACAAATACTGCAGTCATGCACATGAGTTGCAGCATTCCTGCATCTGGAGAGAGACTGCAGGGCAATTTCTAACAGCTAAAACGCAATGCTGGCCTTTAATGCATTTCCTGACGCGGTGAATATGCTGAAACTGACATTTCTGCATGCGCAGATCTGGCTGCCAAAAAGAAGTACATGAAGAGCAGCAGAGAAGGTGGCTAACAGTTATTCACATCAGTGACTGACACCCCTAGGTTTCAGTTATTGTCTAAAATCACCAAGCATGACGAGCTGTGAGCTCTCCAAAATGTGATTTTGTGGGTACTGCAGTGATACACCAACATCAGACGAAGCAGTGGCAGCCGTAAATTCAGTGTAAAGAATGGGAAGGGTACTGCTAAACCCGTGATCCTCAGTAGCTGCTCCATGAAGAATGACCTTCCCAACACAAGGCAATTCTCCACCTGGCAGAGGAGGGCACTGAAGTTCCAACAAACAGCATCCAGAGAGAAATTAAGATCGGATTCATTGCTGAAAGCCATGAGAATCTCTGTGAATTAAGTGGGCTCTCCTGTACAACAACCCCCCAATACACCTCACCTCTTCTCTCTCAAATAAGAATGGTGGTACACAAACAGGTATGGCAGCTAAAGGGAGAGAGCTGCTACTCCAGTCCATATGCTTCCAAAGATGTGTCAGTAAGGACTACAAGGTTCTGGGATGAGAGGTTTAGCTTAGTTTAGAATTCAATGGATGCACATCTCCACCAGGCTACTCCTGCACATTCTCACCCTCCTTTCCAGCAATCAAACAAGTGCAGAACAATCATTCAAAACCAGACAGGAGTTCTGTGATGCTGCACCTGGCCACCACTTATCTCTGGGAATAAAAGACTTGAACAGTGCTACAGGAGAACGCCTCTCCTCACTCACCAGATGGCTCCTCGGGCTCACTTTCATTCTCTTCTTCTGCAGGAGCAGGTGGAGGTGGAGGTGGCAGCTTCTTCTCTTTCTCAGCTTTAGCGTTTCTCTCTTCTTCAGAGTAATATTCATCTTCTGAGAGATTTGCAAGGCTCTCATCCATCTCTCTATACTCTACCTGCAGAAAGAACAACACACCATCAACACACGAAGCCGTCAAAGTCCCAGCACTAAAACAAACACTGCAAGCAACAAAACCACTTCCAGGCTCACAGAATAGGCCTGAGCTACCTCAGCCAGAGTTATATCTCAGGCATCACACAGGTCTTCAACAGCTCCACAAATTCCATGTTTTCACCTGCACAACATAACTTGTCTTCGACAGCCAAAAGTAGGAGCTTCCTCCTAATATTTAGCCCAATTTCTGTGTTTCTGTTAAGCCAGCATCATCACTTGACCTCTGCAGCTTACTTCCCTGTGTTCAGCTCCCTGTCAAACTCAGGGATACAAACTGCAAGAGCCCAACCCATAACTCGGATTCATCTGCCCAGTTCTGCACTCCCTGCTGAATTCAGGCACCTCTCCATCCAGACTTCACAGTGCACAAACTTAGAAGGGTTAGAAGTGACCGTGGCACCATTCACACCTGCAAGTTCCCTAGAAACACTATGGTCCCTAGAGATAACTGACAGTGCTACAAGCAGTGGCAAGGATAAAATATAATGCAAAACAAAATAACCCACAATAACTGAGAAGAAATATTCCAGTCCCACCTTGCCCCATTCCCAACATGAGGAACGAGGCAGATACAACTCCCACATCTCTTCAGCTGCTCTCCAGCACAAAGAAATATTACCAGCTTCAGAAAAAAGCATGGCCCAACTGAAAGGAACACAGGAACCCCAGGAGAAATAAAAGCATTTTTTCCAAAGTAGGAAAGTTCTGTATACTGCTATTAAATTTCCCTGCCTATTGCTACCTGATTTCTGCTAAAACAAAATCAAGTGCTTCTCAAAATAGGCAGTCAATAGAAAATGAAGAAGAATTCAGCTGGTATCCCCCCAACACCCTGCAGCTCAGCCCCTGGCACATGACAACAAAAATAACTGCATTTCTGACCACAGAAAATGAGACGCTTTTCACTTTTACCATCAAAGCTGTGTCATTAAGGAGAGGCATTAATGGCCACAACCCAAAGCAGCACAGGGAGCCCTGCACACAGGCAAGCATACGTTCAGCAGAACACCAACATGCACACTTATTCACTCACTTTCAACTCTTTACACCCAATTGAGTCCAGCACCATTGGTTTTTACACAGTTGTGTGAATGCAGCACTGCTAGATCTGTTGTGAGCTCCCATCCTAAGGTAACTTGCAGCAATTCCACAGCATCGCAGGTGTTTGAAAGCAAAAGAAAGCAGTTTGCCCCAAAGCCCTCTGGCCTCTCCTCCTCCTTCAGCTCCCACAGCATTAAGAGTGCAGTCAAACCCAACAAAAAACATGCTTCTCCCAGACCAGGTGTATTTATTAATCAACCTGGATAACCTCCACTGATTTCACAGCACAAAGACAGTGACTCAAGGCAGGGCCACCTGATAATAGTGGGAAGGAGTTCTGGGAACTCCACATTATATATTTAGGGAATGGATACTGCCAACACAGAGAAGCATCACCAAAACATACCCCAAACAGTGCAGCAATTCCTACCTGTTAACAAAGCAAGTAAAACCCTCTGAGCTGCATCAGAGTGACCCTATTTGACAGTTCTTATATACAAAGGGTTGGTGCTGCTTTCAGGGCACAGCCACACAGTACACCACACAGCTCAGGGTCCCCAGAGATCCTGTCAGCTTCCATCTCAAATCCCCTCAGCATTACACACCCCTGAGAGCTCCACAATCTTCCACAATGAGGTTTCCAAGTACAAGTGATTTATAAAGAATACGTTCATTTGTGTTCAGAAGAAAATGAGAGTTACTGAGTGCAGGTTGCAGTTACTGGCATCTGCTGGAGACTCTTACACCTCACAGCTTAATATCACCGTCATTAAGGTTGGAAAAGCCCTGTAAGATCATCCAGTCCACCCCCACCATGCCCACTGACTGCATCCCTCAGTGCCACAATGGTTCTGGAGCACCTGCAGGGATGGTGACCCCACCACCCCCATGGGCAACTGTGCCAGCACATCACCGCTGTTTCAAAGAAGCAATTGTTCCTAATACCCAACCTGACCACCCCATGGTGCAACTTGATGCCATCACCTCTCATCCTATCACTGTTACCAAAAACAGCTGATCTCCACTTGCCACAACCTCCTTTCAGGCACTTATAGAGAGCGATGTGGTCCCCCTGGAGCTCCTCTTCTCCAGACTGAACCATCCCATTCCCTCAGCCGCTCCCCAGCGCTATGCTTCAGACAGACCCCTCACAACTCCTTTCCTTTCTCTGCACACACACTACTCCCTCCACATCTTTCTTGTACTGAAAGGCCCAAGGCTGAGCACAGCACTGCGATGCAGCCCCACCAGCACTAGCACAGAGGACGGCCACCTCCAGCTGGCTGCACTGCTGCTGACACAGCCAGGATGCTGTGTGGCTCCCGGGCATCCTGCTGGCTCACATTCAGCCGAGTGCCACCAACACCCCTACAGCACCGATCACCCCCCCACGTTCACACCGCAAATCAGGACACACGTAGCACCGCACACGAAACGAACCCCGAGGCCGCCCCCCCCCCCCCAGATGCCCCGGCACCCCGACGGCCGCCCCACGGCCCCCCCCCCCGGCTTGGCGCGGGGGGGGGGGGGGGGGAGGCCCCCACTGAGCGTGGCTCCGCCCCCCGGCCCGCCCTTACCTTGGCCCGCTTGCGGCGGCTTGTCCGGCGGCCCTCGGGGGTCTCTGCGATGCCGGTGGTTTCGCCGCCGGACGCGGGGGCGGCGGGCGGCTCGGATGCACCTCCCGGGGGCGAGGCCCGAGGCGGCTCCTTCTTACGAGGAGTGCGCTCTCCGGCCCCGCCGCTCTCAGCGGAGGAACCCAGCGCTCCTACAGCAGCCGACGGAGGTACCGGAGCCTCGGACCCGCCCTCGCCGCCCGCCGCCTCCGCGGCCTTCTTTCCCCCGGCCAGCATCGCCGCTGCCGCTCCGCACAAAGGGACCGCGAGCGCGCACGGCGCCGCCTCCTGACGTCACTTCCGGGGCGCGCGTGCCGGACGCAGCTCGCGCATGGGCCTCGGTCTCCTCGCGAGAGCGCCTCGGGGCGAGACGGGACCGGCGCGCGTTGGAGGACATGTTGGGGCGCGAGGGGCGGGATCTGAGAGAGGCGAGGGCAGAGCGAGCCTGGCGCAACGGGGGGCAGCGCTGGACAACGGGAAGGCAACCGATATCACCTGGCAGGTGATGCAAGGCGGTGCACAACATCCTCATCTCTGAGCTGGAGAGAGACAGATTTGAAGGGTGGGCTGTTTGGTGGGTAAGGAATTGGTTGGGTGGTTGTGGACAAAGCGCTGTGGTCAGTGGCTCTGTGTGCGGGTGGGGGTGGTGGCCCCCAGGGCTCCATCTCAGCACCAGTAACCTTCAGCACCTTTACCAGTGGCATCAATGATGGATGGAGTGCATCCTCAGCACTTTGCTGATGGCACCGAGCCGAGCGGTGCAGTAGAAAGAAGAAATGCCATCCAGAGGAACATGGATCCATGCACAAGCGGATGCATGTGAACCTGATGAAGTTCAGCAAGGCCAAGTGGAAGGTGCTGCACCTGGGTCTACACAATCCCAGGTATGTGTATGGAGTGCTGCTGATGGAGAGCAGCCCTGCGGAGGAGGACTGAGGGAGCTGAGGGTATTCAGCTTGGAAAAGGCCCTGGGAGACCTCTTTACAGCCCTACAGTAGTTGAAGGAAGCTTATACAGAGGAGGAGAGTGACGTTTTACATGGTCTGATGGTAACAGGACAAGGAGGAATGATTTTCAACTAAAAGAGATTTAGGTTAGATGTGAGGAGCAAATTCTTTACTTGAGAGGCTGCAAGGTGCAGGCACTGCTGCCCAGAACTGTGGGTGCCCCATCCCTGGAGTTGCCCAAGGCCAAGAATGGAGTACAGGGCAGCCCAACCTGGTGGGGGGCACCCAGCCCATGAGGAGGAGCTGGAACTGGATGATCATTAAGGTCCCTTCACCCACACCATCCTATGATTTTTTTATTTCCAAAAATATTATAGGCTGCTCCTCTAAAACTGTGTCCTAAATCCCTATCTGTAGTTTTGCTTCACATTCTTTAGTTTATAAATACAAATCATACATAATCTATTCCTACTGCTCCTGAGGCATCATCATGCCCACCATCTCAGAATTCTCCCAATTCTCCCTGTGACCAAAAAAACAAATGTAAGCTAATAGCAAAGTGTTGGAGAATGTTCAGGCACTCAAAAGGATCAGATCTTGCTTTGATTTGTTGTCTCTGCACAAAACTGAGAAGAGCATTTCAACTTAGAACATACAGGAAATCAGATTTTTATATAAAGTTTTTGCATTCAGTCCACTCTGACGGCACATACAAACCCACATTTAATTTCTATCTTTATTCAAAAGTAAATTCAATTCCACATCTCACCTGTGATGACAGATGCAGAAGCCATTTCTCCAAATAACCCTTTACCCTTCCCCAACCTATACAAACAAACCGTATCTTGGATTACTTGTATTACAGTGATCACGAGCAATATTTTCTGAGTTCCCACACTGTTTCAGTTAAGTCCATATGAATGAAAAAACCCTCTGCAGACCTCAGAATTAAAGTTCGACATGAACGCACAGCCTGAGCATCAGACCTCTTCCATATACACAATTAAATTTGGCAAAGATTGACAGAAATGAAGGAACCGAGGTGTGGAAATGCTGTTAACCATTATGCTTACAAGAGGAGGAAGACCAAAGAACTTACAACTTTCTTTAATGCATGGGTCCTGTCTTCACTTCTCCATCACATTCTTCTGCACCCCCAGAATGGAGGACAGCCCAATCCCCCCTATACCAATACTGAATACAGACTAATCCTCATTTTCAAGGAGGCCATGATTTATTTCTTTGACTCTGACTCAACCGTATTGCTACATTTCAGAGAAACAGCATTTTCCCTTATGGCAGACATGGATTTAACTCCAGCAGAAAGGCTCATACCTGCATTAAACTCTTTTTAAACACAGTGACCGGCTAGTACGGTTATGATGTGAGAAACCATAGCATTCAAAACCTCTTCATTGTGAGTGAAGGTGGAGACAGAGAAAGTTCACAGAACACCAAGAAGGGGAAAAGAATCAAAACCAATGTAAAATTTAAGAAATAGGTGCCTCAAAATATTATATTTTTCTCCCCTTACAAATCTATACGGAGATAAAAGCCAGAGCATAGGAGGCGTGGCCTTCACCCAGGACTTTATTCTAAATTAAGTTCCACCACTTTGTTTTTGTTAAAAAATAAAAAGTCATAATTTAATACTGTTTCAAGATTCTTGGATTTGTCGTGCTGTTAACATCACACCCGTTTTTAAGAGATGCTCCTAACTTTGCCTCTGGATGGAAGCGCTGTCTGCCCCACAGGCTGCTGTCACTCTTGCTTTGCTTCTTTCAAGGCTTGCAGTCTTTCTAAAAGGGGTGGATGGGAATAATGCCACATTGAAAAGATCCAGTCAGAAACAGGGAATCCTAAGTTATCTTTGTTTAGTTTGATCAAAGCAGAATATAGGTCTTTAGCCTTTCCAAGTTCCTTGGCAAATGCATCTGCTTGAAACTCAAATCGTCGGCTTAATACAGTCAAGCAAAAGGAGAGAATCTGTGGAGAGAAATACATTAAAATTACCTAAAAATTCAACCATCTGCACTTTCTTTACACTGTCAGTGAACAGACACTGCTGTACCTTCCTGCCCCCATCCCACACATCACTGTGGCTGTAGATTGAGCTCATAAGATTTGTCCAGGCCATACCCCCAACTGGGAGTCTTACATGGAGCAGTAACGATCTTTATGAAACAGGAATAGCAGAGCTACCTGAAACTTCCAACTTTTCTCCACAGTAATAATACAGTCAACGTAAAATTGTTATTTAAACAGGACAATACTTCAGCACCTGCATCTGAAAGACAAGTTCAAAACCATACCTCATTGTAAGGTGAAAAAATGAACTGGAAAATAATCATCAAGCCTATCAGGGTCGGCTGAGTCTCGTAGAAGCCAAATGCAGCAAAGAGTTCTTTTCGACCAATCAGAACAGCAAACAAGAAGAAGCAGAGGAAGGAATTCATCTAGAGAAATGTAACAGCATTCTTGATTAAGATGAGCTTTTCATCCAAGTCTAATATATGCCCTAAAATATAATTGGTTTGCATATAAGCTCCACAGGAAAGATAAAAAGAAATCCAAACAGATTACTTCAGAACTCATATGTGCAGAGGAGCAAGCAGTTGGCTTTCACCAGCTTTCTGAGGGTGCATGCAATTAAAAAACTCATTGTTTTGGTCCAGGGCAACGTGCTCCACGTGTCCCTGCTAGAGCAGGGCACTGGGTCCGATGGCCTCTGGAGTCCCTCCCAGCCTCATCCACTTTGTGACTTCGTGTTATTTTCTGTCAGTGACCTAAAAAGATGCCTCAGGTAGCGAAGGAAGACAAAAAGGCAACACAACAAGACAACTGATAGGGAACACTGAAGACAATCTATTTCCTTGGATTTAAGCGTGGGTTCCAACATGTTTAAAGATGAACCATGTGTGTGCACATCACTCAAAGCAGTATCTGCTGTTTGTTCCATCATACACCTGCTCCTAGCAACAATGTTTGTTTCCATCTAATCCAATATGTGCCCATTGCTTGGTAGGATGTCCAGAAGCAGCTCCCTGCTTTACCATGGTGTGCAGGGAAGCAGATTAGTGCCTTTTCCATTCCTGCAAACAGCTGTTTTTAGAGTAATGTGGAATGTGGCAAATAACACTCACTGTTCAAACACACAGGACAGAAGAGAGATAGTGGCAATAAGAATCAACATAAGAAATAAAACATTGCAGAAAAATTGGTGAAAATTTCAGGAAGTGAAGGTAAAGCTTCCTTCAAAGTTTATCTATTACAGCAAGATTATATCTAAATAGTGGCAAAAACATCAGTCATTACTTTATCATTAGTAGGGATCAACACCAATATCAAAAGTTGGAATATAATTGCATTAATCAAAGTAGAAAGAATGTCACTGGAGGGTTTAGTGTCATGAATAAGAAAAACATAGCATGGAATCAGAGATTGTCTTAAGCAGTGATGTAACCTGAAAAAAAAAAACATTAATAGCTCTAGAGAAAAAAGAGAATAACATTCCTGCACTCATCAACAGGAGAAAAGAAAAAAGTTGGGAATCTGAAAAGATGGGTGCGTGATAATTGGAAAAAAGTTAGATTACACCATGATAGACTTGATAATAATTAACATAGAGTACATAGCTGTGAACTGGAAACCAAAACATCTGAAATTAGGAAGTAAGATATTTGGGGAAGGAATTCCCTTACACTGTGCTACAACCAGAGGCACATGCACGAATAAATGGACCATCGGGCTCCTTTCATTCCAACGTGAAGTTGCCCAACCTCCAGAGATTGCTTTGATACTAAATCCCGATTTGGGCACACAACAAGAATTGCAAATAATGTTATTTACCAATAAGCAATGCACAAGGCAGGACAAAACAAGTAAATAAGTAAATAAAATAGAAATACCCTCTGAGTCAGATTTCATAACTGGCAATCATGTTCCTCCCTTCTTCTGCAAGGAGCAAGAGCAATTCTCTGGTTCATGCTACCCACCAACCAGGTGGGGCAAGGAAGGGACGGGAAGGTACCGCACACTCAGTAAAGATACAAAAATGAAAACAAAAGGGGAAAAAAAAAAAGAAAAACAACTGGAAACAATAACTTGAAACAATCACCACCACCAGTTTGTCATGACTTACCTGGCTGATAATAATGTTTTTGACAGTGTGACCTAGCTTCCAGTGACCCAATTCATGACCAAGGACAGCCAGAACTTCTTCATTCTTACATCCTTGCTTTTTATTCTGAGGGAAGAAAGTCAAACTGAGCACAGCTGAACATATTTTTC